AGTTTTGTCCTCAGATTCAAATTCTGCATTGGAAATGTGGGCCAGGAGTTGGAGTGTGGAATAAATCGTCTACTGTATTGGTCCCTGGCGATAACCATAAGCTTGGTAAAGGTGTATAATATTTTATAATAATCAATTCACAATTAATTATTCATTATCTGCTGATTATAGAAAACAAGAGAGGAGTTTTATTAAACCTGAAAGACAGATCTACCTGGAAGAATCAATTAGGCCAAAAAGCTGCCTTACATCAGAAATGTACTAAGATGACAGCTACATTAAAAGCTCCAAGGACTGCCGTTGCCATGCCAGCACATTTTGACTCCGTGTATTGTATTTAACACAAACTCACACGGTAAGAAAAGACTCAACTTCTTAGTACCAACAGTGTGTTGAGGACCAAGGCGCAACTTTCAGTTTCTTTAGAAATGCTGAGATATGTGATATGGCTGGTATGTTTGCATCTAAGGTAATGTTGGTTCATTTTGATTAGTTTGAATGAATCACTGTTTCCTTTTCACTCTTCCTCTTTCAGTTTACCTTTTGCAAATCTGGCTGAAAGCCCAATTAAGCCAGCAAATTGCTGGGATAGTGGTTAGGCAGTGTACCCCAGAAAGGCTTAAACCAAAGAAAACTTTACTGGAGCAACCTCCTTAGTTGCTCTTAGAAAATCAGCTCTCTGAGGTATCTATACACTTTGAGTAAGGGCTTTTAATTATATAGGTCAGTCAGTTAATGTCAAACTTTAAGGAACAATTAGGTATGTAAATATTTGTGATATTGCTGGACTGCAGTTCTGCATAGCTGTATCTGTTAACAGAAAACATTTCTAAATGTTGCATGTGGCTGTACAATCATTACTTATGTGCTCTGGAATCTACTGTGAGTTCAAATGGGATTTAAAATGCAGGAGCAGGATTTTTATTTCTCAGCCACTATTGACAATGGTTGAAAACATGTAGTTCTGCACAGCACAAAGCTGTGGTGCACCAGCTTGGACTAAGATGCTCCCGTGGACATCTCAATAGCCAAAGGCATGTTGGCCAAAGGAGAAGACTACACATGTGTGCTGCAGCTAAGGAGGAGGAACAGTGTGTGCTCCCTCTCAGCAGACAAGCCCAAACACATGCATGTCAAGATGTTGCTCTACCAGCAAGTCTGTCAGGACTGGGCTCACATGTGTGAAGGTCCTCTCTGTATTATCACAAGTTAGCTTGCACACAACTTGTAATTACTCAATTACTCATAGAGGAGTAACAAAACAAGTATCTGGCTGATGTGCAGTCTCACTCAGCCAGTCACAGACAGACTCAATTTCAGTTTAAGCAGAATGAGGTCAGTTCATAAATGAGGTCTATCAGTGACTTGCAGACAAAGGGAGTGCCAGGTGGACGAGGGGAGGAACACTAAAGCATGATTTTAACACTGAAATAAAGACAGAAACGACACAAATATCTACCAATGATATTGCTATTAATGCAAACCCAAAGCTAACGTTGGGTTGACTGATTTGGTTTTTTTAGCATCCATCTGCAGCCTTAGCAACGTTGCTGCTTGTTTTTTGCAGACATGTGGAAATATAGGTTGCATTATAGTGCACAGATGCTAGTCAAATTTAAAGCTCAGACACAAACACGTCGTGCATTTGATAAGAAAGCCAAAAGCAGTCAAAACAACAAGTGTCAAGAGTCAGGGCTAACGTTAGCATCGACTATGTCGCTGCTAGCTAACGTTTGGGGAGTTGTGAGGCAGTTAAACGTTAAAGACAATGAAAGTGATTAATTAAACTTCCCACTGTGCTGCTAATATAAAAGAGTAAGCACCCAACCGGCCGTCAAAGAGTGGGGGCGACTGATACATTTGACGGCTGCACTTTGTTTACGGATAGGTACTAAGTCTGCTGCTCAGCTGGTTAGCCTGTTAGCATGCTAGCATGTAGCTAGCAGCCCAGACCACGGTGATCGCGTCACCGCCTGCCGGGCAGGCAGAGCACCTACTGCGGTGTGCACTTACAGGAAAGGCCCGTATCCTCATTTTGGTGTCCTTCTTGGTGCCGCTTTTGCTGAGATTGGACATGGTTGCCTCGTCCGTGGGCTCTGTATTCACATGAAAGTATTCTCCACGGAGGGACGGGGGTGACTACTGGTTTATGGAGCAGCCGACGAGCTTTCACTCGACCTCGTAGCTCCGCGTCCCGGCACCGCAAGTTTATTGTTGACAGCCAAACGCCAAATCCGATAGTTCTTCATACAGCAATGGCGGACTATCTGCAGTTCTCATTGCGCAGAGCTCACGCACTCCAAGTCACGCGAGAAAGTAATTATTTGGAACAATTTCTCAACTTTACTCACCTGTACTTTACAATAATTTACTTTGTCACACATATAGTACAGCAAGGACTATTTATATTACACGGTTTATTCAGTAGTTCCCTATATTGTACAGTCAGTCTTCTTCACTAGAAGCAGAGTCAAGGAAGAGCAGTAATCCCATATATAGCAACTAAAAAATACCAGTGATGGAAAGTAACTAAGTATAATTACTCCACTAGCTGTACTTCAATTGTGGGCTAATTTACTTTTAGTTTACTTGAGTTGATGTTACACTTCAAACTATCTCTCATAGGGAAATATTGTGTTATCAGCTCATAAAATGTGATGTGTTATTGTGCACACTGGTTAAAATCACCTCCACCTCCATCAGCTACAACATTTAAGTAGGCTACTGCTTACATGTTAATGCAACAATAACAATATCTTATTTTACTGTAATATAGCCTAACACTGTCAAGGTGCATAATAAGTGTGACTTAAAATACATGTTGTTGCAGATACATTTGTAATTTAACTTAAATCAGATTTTTGATGCAGGATTTTTTACATGCAATGAACTATTTTTATTGAGTTATATTGCTTCTTCTTCTTCCACACCATTTTGAGTAAATGTCAGAGCATTCAAACTTTTACTCAAGTAAAGAAATAATGCCAGAGGGATGTATTTATATTATCAAAAGTAAAAATACTGCAGAATAGTCCCCTGTCAGTGGTACATTATCTAGAAGTGCATACTGTAAAGTAAAATTGCAAAAATAATATCTTATTTTATTGTAATATAACACTGTAAGGGTCCATAATGAGTACTTTTACATTTGAAACTTAAGGTACATCTTGTTGCAGATACATTTGTAAATGAACTTACTGTAAGTAAAATTTTAGATGCAGGGCCTTCACTTGCAATTGACTATTTTTACAGTTATATTGCTACTTGATCTTAATACTTCTTCCACCACGAAACAATACACCAGTACAGTTAAAAGTCCAAGCACTCAAACTTTTACTCAAGTAAAGAAATATTGCCAGAAGAAAATAATTATAGTATTAAAAGTAAAACTGCTGCCCCTCCCCCTATCAGTGTTACATTATCTACATGTGCAAATTGTAAAGTAAAATTGTTTCTTAATTTAAGGTTTTATTAGATTTTTCTCTGTTGCTGTCAGAGAATTTTCTGGTGTAAAGACCACCACTGTGATTTACATATATTTTTATATGTCTTGTTGGGAGTTTTCTTTTGGTTCCAGCTTAATTTGGTGCTGTTGAGTGGGTTTGGGCTGTGATATGCTGTCTGAGTGTTTGGACAAGCTGTATGGACTCCTCTCTGGCTGCACCTCTTGGCAGATTAAGATTTTGTGGTTCAGTATGTTTGGGATTCATTTGCTTTTAAGGGGATGTGTATGTTAGCTCTTCTGCTTTTTGTATTTTTAATTTAAATTGCCCTGGTCTTATTGGTGCAATATGTACTTGCATAACTCTGCATGCAAAGTCTGTATGTTCATGTCCCTCTTCTCAAATTTATAAATCAAATATTACTCCCACAGAAAATTCATGGGTTCTCTTACGACCTGGAATACCTTTAGATTTGATTTCTTACAGATATTTTTTGGGACTTTTTGCCTTTATTTGACAGAGCAGCTATAGCATGAGAGTAGGAATGACATGCTCCAAGGGCCGTGGGTTGGAATTGAGCCCACAGCTGCTGCGTCAAGGACCCAATACATGGAGCGCCTGCTTTATTAGGTGAGCTACAGTAGTGGGCAGCCATACCTTCAGATTTTCACAGGGATGCCAAATTCTAAATAGATCTAAAATTAGAAACACTTAAATCCTTTGATGAATTTAAGGGCAGCCTAAATAATGTGGCGATAGAGACATGTGCTTGTTTTTCTTGAGAGGCCACTATGTTTGAGTAGTTGTTGTTTTATTGTGGATTTTTGTATTATATGTTGTATTTGTTGCATTTTGAACATGTTTTGATTGGCTGCTACCTCGGCCAGGTGTCTTTTGTAAACAAGATTTTCAATCTCAATGGGACTTCCTAATTAAATAAAGGTTAAATAAATAAACAAATAAACAAAATGTAATTATTTCAAATTAAATAGCTTGTGTTTCTAGCAAGGTTTTCACATTTTAATTGGTTTAATTTAATTAATTTAATTAAATACAGACGTGTATGGACATAGGCATCATTCTAGGCATAACATTAGTGTAAAACCCTTCAAATGGACCTTTGTCAAATTCTTAAGTGATGCATATTCCCAAACAAATTTCTGTTTGATTTCATTTTACCTCAGTTGGTTGGTTTAATGAGGTTAATACATTATTTTCTAGGCTAAATATAACGTGGTCATATCCTCACTGAAGCCTCATCTTTGAGCTTTGGATATTGTACAGATACAAGTTATGATAATTTTCCTTCACCTACATGCAGAATGTGGAGAGGGGAGTTTGCTGTAGTGGACTGTGGTAGATTTTTTGCCCCAGGGCCCCCAGTGTGTTAATCTGGGCATGCTTATACAGTATCAGTATGTGGGTTAGTCCAACAGGATCAACAGAGATGTCACTGTGATGACATAATCAGTGTTGCAGAGCCCTACTGTCACCTGACCTCATGGTGAAGCTACAGTTTGTGTGTGTTGTGTGCACTTTTAGAGACAGAAACCAAAGGAGCATTTCACCAGATTTATTCCAAGAAAGAGAAAAAAAATCTCAAAATTTCATCCATTTGTCTCCTTGTCAAAAAATGTCCTTGTTCATTACATCTGAAGAAGAACAAGACCACCAGCACTCAGAACTCAACAGAACAAATAATTAACAGATGACTGCTTTTAGTCCTCAGTATGAGCATCATGTATACAAGTCAGATTAATTTGGGTTCTTAATTGTGGCAGAGTATCATATGTATAACCTAAATACACATATGTTTTTCTTTCATCACCTCTGTCTAAAACACTAAGCTCGGGGTTGTTCAAACATGGCGTCAAAAAAAAAAGAAAAGAAAAGAGAACAGGATGCAACCACTTTAAATACATTACAGAATTGAAATACTTCCCATTGTAATAATGACAGACAATCAAATAACATTTTCTTTTAAAACTTTGATATTTACAGCAATTATTTTTTTGCCACTTTTAACAATTATGTCACAGGTGATCGTTACAATGACGTTACATCACAGGTTAGAGTCCCGTTGATCTGTGATGATGGGAAATAGATTGGGTCATACTTCCTGGATGAGCCGCAGTTTCAGACCCGGTCATGGATCAAAAAAGGTTTTATATGAACACAGCCCTCGACTTTCCCCCCAGCATTAGAGAACAAAAATAAATTTCAATTTGCAGCTTGGCCAGGAAGTAGACAACATTTGCTTGGCACATTTAGCCCTGACTCTCTAAAACAAAACATAAAGGGACAGATACACACTCAGTATAGAAACTGTCCTAGGTCTGAACTCCCAAAAGCATTTTAGGATTAAAACTGTGACAGGCATTTGATTTTTTTTTATCATGATCTAACACTGAAATGCCTTTGGAAACTCAGACCTGATAATAATTTAACAAGAGGCATAGGTATTTACATAGGACTCTATGCAAAGTCACAGAGGCAGACACTTCATATTGCACATGAAAAAGGCAGGTACGTATGAAATGGTGGTTTAGAAATAATACAAGAGGCGAAATCACACGTGAGAGAAAGAGAGAGAGAGTCTGTACGCCCTTTAAGAAACTTATCCTAAAAAATATTCAGTCCATGAAGCAGATAAATCCATCCCAATGTAGGTATAACACACATCAAACCACTTTGCTCACCGATTAACCTTCCTCCCTAATGCACATTCAAGAGACTCTCAAGAAAAATTATATATTTAAATCCTACAATTCCAATATTTTTGCTTTAATCTACCTTCATTAGCATTATCGACTTAAGAGATTCGAGCAAGATCACTTGAGGTTTGCGTCTGCATCATTACTTTTAACATCAGCTTTTTAAAGCAAACATCATCCTCTTGATCTCAGCTACCTCCTGTGCTTTCTCTCTCTTTCTCCATCACATCTACACACCCACTCATCTGTCCACTCAGCTGCTCGCACGCTCTCACCTCTCCACGCACAGCCTACATACAGCGGTAGTATCCATAACAGAAGTTTCTCTTCATGTAACTATTCTGCAGCATTTCCTATGTTAAACATCGCAAGGTAAAACTGAATATGGCATATTGTAACACAAAACCCCATGGCTTCCCCTTTTTTTTGTTTTTGTTTTTTTTACACGAGGCACAATCTGAGAACTCTAATTTTCATTTCCTTTGGGATGCAGCAGTAGTGGACTGTCGATGCTTGTCATTTCAATGATGGCTACATCTCTAGTTCCTTCCTTAAAACTGTTTTTTGGGTGCATTGAGAACTGAAAAATAAAACAAACGCCATTGGGTCTGCCTAATATTCACTGGTGGTTGTTATATATATAATTTAAAATATAAAGAAGTGAACATGACATCTGAGGTCTTCACACAGGTATTTCACAAATATACATCTTTTGAGCATTGTGATCATTCATCCACCACATTGATACTCAAACTATGTCTATAACAAATATACAACATACATACCAAACAGACTCTTTATTTCAATTTTCATATATTAAAAGCTCTAAGAAAGGCAGCAAAGATGCGCAATAAGGCAGATCCATATGACACAGTCAATGACACACTCCATAGAACACGTTCTACTGTGGCACATTTACACTGACAGATGAGATGGATCTTTTAAAGGGCTTCGGTTGCTCTCTGTCTAACGTGGTTCATGAGGAAATCTGTGAACTGAAAAGTAAAAGGGAGTGAGCACGGTGCAAGGGAGTGGGAGGGATGGCAGAGAAAAATAAACTCACGAGGGAGTGTTTTAAGGTCATGGGTGACCTTTGTTTGAGGTGTAGATGCCTACTTGATGCAGTGGCATGCAGTTAATATGCACAGGGTGTGTGTGTGTTTCAATGTTTTATGCATGGAGAAGGTTATTATGGCCAGGGATATGTGACTCCGTCGTTGATCAGTGATTGTCAATTTGTCCCTTAAACCTCCCCAAAATGAGGAAATGTTAATCAGTACACATGAGGGTTTTAACGCTGTCTAAGTAAATTAATTAAATCTCCCTTGTACAGCTTTTTGGTGATGAATTAATCAAGATTTTTTGAAGAGCTGAATACAAAAATCTGTTCTGATGGTATAAAAATGGACTGCATTAATTCCTTAGCCATGGAGAAATCAGCACTGACAAAGATAAAAGGAATAATACATGAGGTGTCCATACAGCATGCATTCATAAGCATCAGGTGAGGGACTATGGCAGCTGCTTATGTGTGAACAAAGCTGAGCCATTGAAATCAATAATAGCTATTATGAAACATTTTACAGAAAGTATAGCACTTTATCTCACTGTTACATGTTGAAGTAGTCTTTTTCCATAAGAACTGTTTTTTTTTCTTCTCTGTCGTGTGTCTAAACAGTATGCGCATGTACATATTTGTGTCAGTGTGTCAGTGTGTGTGTGTGTGTTTTTACAATCGTATTCAGGATCAGTACTGTGTCAATGAACGTGTGAGTTGCGGTTAAAAACTTATTTTTCCAGTATAGCTGCTGAAAAAGATAAAAGTCACCACCTTCTGCTTTCCTGAACTGGAGACACAAGCAACATGTAGCATCTAATCACTGAACCGGCTCAGATGGATCCGCTCATTTCAAATCGCTTGTCTGATTCGATTAGTTTGAAACTTTGTCCTGTTCGTTCTGCATGGCCTGCTAAGCATCTAAGTGATTGACAGCAGAGAGATCCCTTCCTCTCAGGTCGCTAAAAAGGTATCCTTGGCCTCTTATTGGACCACAGAAAACTTCAAGAAACTGTCAGCAGCCCGCTGTTGTCACTGACCGCTCCCTCCGTCTGCATCGTCCAGGCAACCGTTGAGGCAGTGGTCGTCGCTCCCGAAAGCACCCTGGGCTTGCAGGAGCTCATATTCCTGGTCCAGGAAGTCTAGGCTGTTGTTGCTAGGCAACCCACGGATGGTGAACTTGTGGGACACTTTGGTCCACTGCTCCCGATTTGCCGCCACTCTCTCGTACAGCTCAGTGGCCCCAGGAAACAGTTCAGATAAGAGCCTGAAAGGACAGAGGGCAGCAGTGGCACATGGGTTAGGATGTGATAACTTTACAATAAAAGATTATTCATTGCTCCAGCCTGAGGACGTGCCCGAAATTTTCAAAGTCCAAAATAAAAAGGTAAAAACGAGAATTTAAAGGTGTGCTATGCAGGATTGTTGGTTGCTGTTTGTAAACACACTGACCAGCAAAAGTGGAAGTACAAGCCAAACCAAGCCCACTCTCATTTGGTAATTCGCCTCGCTATATATGTTTTTTTTTCGGTGCTGTGTCTCTTGGATGCCTGCTGCTTACAGTTTGGCTCCTGGGGTCTCATTTATAAACATTATGTACGCACAAAACAAGGCCTGAAAGAGGCGTACGCCACTTCCCACGCAGAAGTTGTGATCTATAAAAACAGACTTGATGGGAAAAACGCTTACGAACATTTTGGAGATGTGAAATTAGCGACACATTGGTGATTACTTCTGTTTGAGTAGTAAAATCCTGCATAATATTATAGTATATCTTTAACTGCATGTTCTTTTGACTTCATTTTATGTACTCTATTATCTTGCATGTCTTATTTTCAACAGTATAATTTGGTGTTCTTTTATCACAGCATTTCAAACAAACAAACATGAAATAACTACTTTTTTTTGGCCACTTGTGGGAAGTGCAACAGGCTGCAGCCAAAACACTGACAAGTCACCTCATAAAGGTAACACAGCAAACATGTTGGGAACCAGTTGCTTATTTACATATCCAGCAGACACTGAGCAACACTCTTATTCATTAGTGTCATGTTCCTGGCTGCCTGACTGAATGTCAGCCTAATATTCACTTTTTCAGCTCTGTTTTGCTCCTGAGGGAAATATCTGGCTGCTAAATGCTCCACTTTATCACTCACTGTGTCTGTGTGCTGTTTGATGCTGGTCAGGTAGCATACACTGAGTATATCAGAGCATTTTTCACTGAAAACAGGAGCCTGGTGTGGTAAAAAATGAAGATGATGGGGTCATAGAACCAAAACAAGAAGCTGAAAGACACTTAAATGCTCTTTAAAGCCGAGAGACGAGGGAATTTTTATCTGTGTTGAGCATAAATAGGGGAGTCCTCCTTGACAATTTTAACCTCTCTCTTTGTATTTAAAACTTGCTATGTCAGGCCTGACAAACTGATACGTGATTGAAGGGTTCGGCTCTTCATACGCACTTGTAAATAGGCATGGCGATATGTTCCATGAAGCTTATCTGTAGTTCTGGGATGTACGCTTTCTCTCTGTCCATCATCTCACTGGGCCTGTTCCCCATGGCTTTTTCCTGCACACACACACACACAAACACAATACAGAGAGACATGAGTAATGGGCTCTCTACAATGTAAAGTGACACACACTTCAGCTACTTATTAAATAATTTCACATGACATTTAATGGCAAGTGAGCACTGACACATACCAGATCTCCTTGAGAAAAGAACTCTTTATAAATCAGCTCCTGTGGACAGAAAGAGGCCGACATCTGTTACAGTCTCATACTCACAGTGACACTGAGTCCACTTAAAATACAGTTTACTTATTTACTTACTCCTTATTGACATCGTAATTCGGATATTTAGATTTTCATTTCACTCTAAAATGAGCGTAAATCAATTTTAAACACCATATTTGATGCAAACCTGTCTGGGTTTCAGCTTTGGGAGACGTATTTGCAAACATAACTGTAATTTGACTGTACTGAATCACAACAATGACCTAATCTAGGATAAAATGTCATTCTCCTTTATTACATTTCACTTTTTGGTGTGATTGCTGTTTTTTCATTAATCCCCATGTATTTCTTTCACCAGTAAAAATGTACACAAGGCAGACCCAGAATTAAACAGAAATGTGCTTTCAGTATTGGGCGTAAGGATTACAGTGCATTTGCTGTAGGTGTTAGGTGTTTGGAGATTTAGGGTGCAGGATTTAGGACAAGGGTCAGGGGTTTGGTGTTGAAAAGGGGGGCAGACCAAGATTAAACGTAATCCTTAAAATGGAGTGCAGTTTGACAGAGTAGAAAATAATGGTTGTTTCCAACTGTACAGCTAAGCATCTCATAATCTTTATTGTCCCAGAAAGGGGTCAGTGTTAATGTATAGTCTCTGGGAATTGGAAATCTTTAGGAATGCACTGCTGAAAATAAGAGCTCCTGTAACACAGTGGAGAAATGTGCTTGTGCTTGTTAACTAACAGAGACAGTATATAAACTACAGTCCTTTCACTGCATCACATCTACCCTTTTGTTTTTGTTTGGACCTACAACAAGCTGTTTTAAATTACAGAGCAGTACACAACCTGTGCTACACTAATGACGAAAGGCTAATATTAATAATTGTTCATATTATAAAGGTTATTGGACTGACACTGAAACACATTTACATGATTGCATATACTACAGTATATTTATTGAAGCGTGTCGTACAAAAATCTGTGACCTTAATATCTGTGTGCTGATTCAAATGTTGCTTGTTATCCCCCAACTTAAAGGTCCAGTGTGTCAGATCAATTACAGAAATGGTGTATAATATTTATAACCATGTTTTCATTAATTTATAACCACTTGAAAGTAAGAATCATTGCGTTTTAGTTATCTTAGAATGAGCCACTTACATCTACATGGGGAGTCCGCCGGGAGATTCTATAGTAGCCCAGAACGGAGAAACCAAACATTTGCTCTAGATAGGGTCTGGGACTGTGTAGTTCGTCTACACGTTTGACACATCGGACAAGTTATAGTTCTGCAACCTCACCACTAGGTGTCACTAAATTCAGTTGTGTAAGGTAGTTACGATGGGCCCCAGTGCACGCTATTATGATGGGCCCGAGTGCGCCCTATGAAACACACACACACACACACACACACACACACACACACACACAGAGTTTTGGTATAAATATTTTATCAACTGAGGGCTGAATTCACAAAAGGATTGTGTGGCTTTTGCGGCTGCTAAACCGGTAAAAATGGAGCAAACACGTACCATCTAATTCACAAAGCACGCGCAGAGGGTGAAATGCTCCACTAACTGCGCTGCCAAGCAGATTGTGTCTCGGTGCTCCGGTGTTATTTGCACGTATTTAAATGAGGTAATATGCATATATTTGGCGGAAAAATTGCCCCTTTCTATGCAAATGAGCCTCATTGATAAACGTCTAATTCACTAACACCAGCGCTAATAGCCACACGCAGTTTGAGTGAAGTAAATAACGTCTTTAGAAAGCTGGTGCAAACTGGGCGCTCCTCTGTGGAAGCCTCTCACCCAGACTTTCCAGTGATCATGGCAAAAGAGAACAACTATAAAATAAGTCTGTAAATAATATTTTGATTATTATTATAATCATTATTACTTTAATGGCATCCGAAGATATTGATGCGTTGAACAGGTGACAGTCTGCGGTCGTTCTCAAAACACACTTCTGTCACGCACTTCAAAGCAACTTTCAATAATTTCTTTTACGAAACGGGGGAAACAAACGTGAACAAAAACGGTTCCATAATTCATATTAAATTCAAAAGATAACGAAATAACAGCTACAAGTGAGAGGGAATAGTGATAAAGTGGTCAAACTTGGTCAAATCCACAGCCTCAACCCATCCAACACTGTTAGACTGACTCACCAGCAGACGTCACTACATGAGGGTATACAGTATTCAGTACTTTGCCAAACAAAGTCTAATTAGCCTAACTAATACCAGCGCTAATAGCCACACGCAGTTAAGTGAAAAAAATAACTTTGTCATGTGGCTAATTGCAATCAGGGGCAAATCAGGGGCAAACTGCTGCCAAACTTTGTGGGCGTGTTTGCGCTGGTATATCATTAGCGCAATATCCTTTGTGAAAAGGACGTTAAGACGGAGCAAACTGCGGGTGCAAGTGAAGTGCAATTCAAGGTGCTATCAGCGGCCGCAGTTCATTCTTTGTGAATTCGGCCCAGAGTGTCTTACTGCCACTTTCATGTTATATCCTCCTGAGACCCTGTTTCCTCATATGAGGACATCACATTCCGGGTTTACTTGACCTTATACTTCAGTCTACTTAAAATTTAGACCTGTTGTCCTCATTCATGGACACTTTTTTGTGCCATCTAGTGGCGGTAAAACCACAATACACTAATCTGTGTAAAAACAAGATGGCAGCCATCTCTGCCAAGTCAGTCTGCAGCTGACAAAAAAGTGGACACGGTCCAAAACCTGATCAAATTTGATAATTTACACTTTTTTATTTATGATGATTTATGATGTTTGTAGTTTGATATGCCTTACAAACTTTACCAATTTTAGCAACGGTAACAAGCTAAGACGCTGTTAATTAGAAAGTACTCATTTAAAAATGTCGGGAATTTATCGTCAGCTCATTGAAGGATAGTGGGACTTTATGATCTTCTCATTTGAGGACATTGGGACTTTATCGTTGTTGACAGTGTTTAGTTTTTTTATTCTTGTCCGGTCCTACTGATCCCAAATGGCTAGGAGAAAATAAAAATGCATATCAAACAGAAGTTTGGGTCTCAGGAGGATACCCGCTTGCAGATGTACCCAGTTTGTCGGTCTTGAGAGATTTTGCACCTAAACTATCTCCTGTAAATCGTTTTGCCTTCGTTGCATAATTAAACTGAGACTTGATATTGAACAACATCAAGCTACATATTACCCAGCAATCATCATTACATATCTGTAATAGGAAATTATTAGTTTAACTAAATAGTTTTTATAGTTAAATTAAATTAGTTAAATTACAATATTTTATATTTTATGTGGAATAAGCATATCATTTTGATGTAGATTTGTTTACATTTTTGAGAGCATATATAAAAATCACCCCAATTTTAATTTGTTCAGTTCTTTTTTGAACAATTTATGTGTTCTGTGTATGTTTCTGTTTCTTACAACTACTTGTTATGCCTGTTATACTCTTATGTTTAGGACAGAAATACTCTTTGTAGAAGAGATGTGAAATTCTAGAGGGGAAGCTTTCACCATAAGCCCCCTCGGGCACAATTCCTACCATGTTTATTTTTATGTCCATGTTTTTATCACATCTTGTGTACAAATAAAATTCAAATTCAAGCACACTAGGTGGCGATCGGGCCCCTACAACCCACAGGCCCCAGTGCAACCGCACTGCCTGCACTGTTTCTATTCACGCCCCTGACTAAATCCTACACACTGGACCTTTAAACCTAATATTTCCTAACATGGTGAAGAACAGACGAATGCGCCAGAGCATCTTTCTTGTGTTGTAGGTCATATTAAATACACAACACATTCAGCTTCACATATGTAAAGATACAGTATAAAGTGTAGACATAGTTTCAGACAATGAACTGACAGCAATCTTGCGTGTGGTTTTCCAGCCCTTGGTTTGGTCTGACAGGTCACACGATGTCATCAACAGGCACAGCAGCATGGAGCGGTGGTTACGGCTTTTGGGGTTGTATCCATCTGAAACACACACATGCACATATCTAAGATGCATTTACACATTTACACTGGCAGTTAATTAAATGACAGCTTTGTCAAGATCTGAGGTTATTATGTGTTGATATAAACTTTGTTTATTTGGTGGGAAGAAGCGACGTTTCAGTGGCATCTTTACTCTGTTTATTTCCACTCTGTGTTTGGTCAAACTATCTCCCTCCATGATTGACACGTTACGCACTGCAAAGCAGTCACTAACTCATTTAGGAGCTTTTAATGTCCTTGAATTACTTTAACAGCACAAAATTGATTCCACTGAGGAGACATCCACTCTGGATAACTTATAATTGGTTGCATTCAGGCGTAACAAACCGCTGGCTAGGAGGTTACAGCCAATTATATTATATAAGAGTGAAGTACACAACTGTCTCCTGAAAGGGGTAAACAGTCCAATGAAAGAAGAGGATAACCAAGAATGTCAGAAATGAATACTGCGAGTTTGACCTCAGATCTTTGAAAAGGAATTCACAAGATAATGAAAATCTGTAGTCAGTGTGTGCCTTTTGTGTGTCACAAAGAAGGTGCCAGCCGAGGAATGGGTTCATCATTTCACAGGCTGCATATTTAGCCAAAAAATGAACAAAAACTGCATGGGTTTACTTGTTATTGATCACAAAATGATCAAAATGGAACATTTCTAATATGCAATACTGTATATTTTGGTATCAGTCATGTTACATATTTTTCTCTTCTGAAATCACCTCAGTCCAATTTAAGGAAAAACAAATACATTGGTTTTGGTGACACCACTCTGGACCAAGAATTCGAACCAAGCCTCCTTTGCGGTTCAGGGTTGTTAGTTTAAAACAAAAGTAAAAATCAAGGTAACAATTTGCATGCATCTTTTTAAGCAGTTCCAACTCTGGCCTTGTAAAGTAAATCCTATTAGTATTTATAGTCTGACAAACTCTTAGCTTAGGACAACCAACATGATTTGCTTTGACCTCCAAAAACTTAATTAAGTTGAATTAACTTAATATTTATCCAAAAGTTGTGATATATATATATATATATATTTTAATTCCATCCTTCTTAAAAATGTCAAATGTTTTTGATTTTGACCAACTTCTTAAAATAAGTTGTCAGCTGACTATTTTTTATGGTGATAAACTAACCCTATGAATAATATTTAAGAGTGCAGAGACTTTGCAAGAGGCTTTGCAAATTAAACTAATGGCACGTACCATCAGCCATCTTCTGCAAGTCCTTGAAAATGCGAAGGTGGTGAGCCAGGTCCGTCGCCAGAATGATGTCTCGAATCAAATCCAGCATGCGCGAGTAGTCCTAAAAAAACGAAAACCATAAAAAACAAAATTATCTAGCTGAATTAAGTAAATGGAAATTAAAAGTGAGAGGCATTTGCAATGTGTGAATGTCAGATGCCAGATTTTATATCTCACCTTCCTGTTGAACTTCTCAAAGATGTTGCAGCCGTGAGTGTTCAGAATGGCGATGGCCTGGGCAAAGTGATGTCTCTGTCATGGCAAATAGAGCATGATGGGAAAAGGAGTGAGTACAATTGAAAAATGCTGCCTCTAAAGGATTGTTGAGTCATGTTGCAATGCAATGAGCACAGCCAATTTCCATGCCTCCCAGTGCCTCATCACTGCTGCAAGGAACAGAAGTGTGATTTTGGCCACTAGGTGTCGTACCAGTACAAAACAATATGAGTCGAGCTCACATACTGAAGTTCATCAACAAGGAAGGAACATATGAGTATGAGTAGACTGTCTTTTCTCAGTCTACTAAGTTAAGTGTATACGAAAATGCACTCCACAGCATGAAGGTATAGTTTTTGGTTTGAAGTGCATTATATTCAGAGGTGTTTCTAATATTCTAGCCCTGACGTGTGTGTAAAAGGGGAGAACGACTCAGCAATAGAAACACCTCTCAGCATAATAGAGTCCACCACCTATGACTATGACCTCAGCAATAAACTTAAAAAACATGTTTCTGATTGTATAATTTATGGCAGAACTGTACAGAGCTAAAGCGGAGGGTGTATACGCAATTAAGATTTATATATTAATTTATTTGGGCACAGATCCCTCATCTTGTTACAGCTCTGATAGCTTTCCAGTCAGCCTTCCCACATCCCTGTGATGTGATGTAACTGGTTGCGCGTTTACCTCCATCACAGATCCCTCTGAGCTGTAGAGAGCAGCCAGCACAGATTGCTGAAAATAGAAACAGACAGACAAATGAAACACAATCCCCTTCGTGTACACAATATATTGAATCAAATGGAACAACATCCTTCGATAACATCCTGCTCTTTAACTGTGCTCGTCGGCTTGAATATAAATCTTCAAATAGAAAAATCATAAAAGGAGCTGATAAATCGATGACCTTTGTTGCATAATGAGCGTTGGTGTGTGCGTCATTTAGGTGCCGGAGGGTTATGCATGATTATAGTGGAGCAGAGCAACATGTTTCTAATCACAATGGCATTTAGTGTCTCACCAGGGCGAATGCACAGGCGGGGATATACACAGACTCTCATATCACCATGAGCCTGGCTCTTATTGATGTTCTCCATCCTTGAGTGCCTAAAAGTCAATTTCTAGTCAGCATTTTCAGAGTGCAACTGCAGTGCTGCCCTGAAACACTCTATTCAGGAGGGTAGTGGAGCAGCAGTGTATTCATTCTCCCTTTTTCCCCTTTGTACCAAGGCTGCAGCCATGGAGTCAACACAGGGGGGACGATATGGGTTTTCAAATCCAGGCGACAGATATCTTTCCCTTCAGTAAATATTCAGTCTGATAAATACAGAAAAGTTGATCATGTTAGTGCAGGGCTACCCAGAGCTTTACATCTGTCCCATAGACGATAGGCCTACACACTTATAAACAGTGCCTGGAAGAAGATCAGCTCTGCACTCAGGATTTCAGATAAAAAGGCTATAAGATGTTTGTTAAGGTTGCTTAGCAACCTCAGACGCAACCTGCCACCACGCTCTTGAAAGCTGGCACAAAAAAGGCAGTAGGGTAGCACCCAGCGCCCAGGTGGTTAATAACAAGTCGGGCAGGAAATCCAAAGTGTGAGATCATTTTGAGAAGGTGAAGGATGAACCCAAGGTGATATGTAAACTAATCTTCATTGGTCGACTACAAACATGACGAATCATCTGAAACATGGAAGTAGCTACATGCCAATTAGCCACTTAGCACAATCATTACTGCTTTGCCCACAGCGTCATTAACAGGCGGCTCGCTCAGTGTGTGACGTGCACTTGTAGATAAAATATAGGCCTATATTAATGAAGGTTCATTAGTACAGTTTTGTATTTCTCTGTAATGTAGCACAGTGTTAACAATGTTACTGATACTATTCTTTCCCACACCTTCAACTCAAACCATTGTGTTGCCCCACCCACAATATATAATTTGACAATAACATTAATATTGTAAACATGCAGAAACTAGTTCTTGTAAACCCTCTAATAAAACAGAAACATCATTTGTCTTACTGAGGCGACTTGGAAAGAATTGTTGGTGCCACGGTGGTCCAGGTCATGGCACATACAGGAGACAAAGAGAGCTAGAATCTCTATATCCCTAAAAAAAGAAGAAAGAACGAGCATAAAGGATTGAAACAACTAAACTTTGGCTACTTGTGTCACCACGGGGAAATGTGTTCAATACATACTCGAGGTAGTTGGACAGCCCTAGGTTTTTGTAGAGCAGGTAGCAGAAGTGTGAGACAGAGAAGGCGTGCATCCAGTTGTGGTACGGAGGGTCCCTGTAGCCTTTCTTCACCATCAGACAGAACCTGACACCAAAGCAGGAGTTTAATTATCACCTACAACGCAGCATGCAGCTAGTGAGGCACGTAGCACGTGTAGAGTGATCTTATTGTTCGTGTTCTGTTTCTTTCTTTTCTATTAAATAAAAAGTACTAAAGAAAGTTATCAAAAGCAACCATATGATGTCTCTACTGCAATGCAGATGAAGCAGCACCAGAAACTGTCGATTCTAACCAAGGTTTAAAGTATAAATTTGACTCTAAACATACTGTATTCCAATAATTTTCATCTGTACTGATCAGTTCAGACCAGTGTCTTGTCAGTGTTGTTACTTGGGAGACACACTCATACACACACGCTCTCAAACTTCATATATGAACTGATGGAGCTGTCAGACCTGGCGAGAGTGTGCAGGTCAATCTTGTAGGTGTTGATGAAACCCATGTCTTCAAACATGCTGAGGACGCACTGCAGACACAAATAACAGCATCAGTTAATTTGTTGCCTCCTTCAAACTCTCTTTCCCACTTTTCCTCTCAACCTCTGTCTCTTACCAGCGGCGTGGTGTCATCAGGCAGGGAGCGAGGCGTGTACGTGAACTCGGCGAAGCAGGGGTGGATCTCCTTGACGGGTTCAATCCCCGTCACCAGCAGCTTAGTGACCTCTTCCTCTGAAACCTACAACATACACATACTGAATCATATTGAGTAAAATATAGGGACAGAGTCAGTAAATACAACCCGTCGAGAGTGTGTGTGTGTGTGTGTGTGTGTGTGTGTGTGTGTGTGTGTGTGCGTGAGTTAGTGAGATGCATGAATGTGATTTTACCTTCATGTGGTACATCATCATTTCATTGGCCAGGTGGGACCTGAACTGAGCTTCATGGACTCTCTTGTAGAGCAGAGACTAGAGGAACAAACATCATATTACAGTTACACCATAACAAATCACAGTTTATTTACTGTCACAGATCCCTGGTTATATGATGCAGAGTTAAGTTACAGCACCAGCAGTAAAACAGCCAAAAACAGTCAGGAAGACAATACTTTCTTATGCTTAGGCTCTAACTTTCTTCCTCACTCCGCTATTCACACATGCTCACGCTCTATCTCTGGCTGTCAGTGTCCGCAACTGTCAATCGAGTCATCAGCTGTTATATCACTGCCCCTCATTTTAAATATGGCTCTTTTTCTGCCCGCAGTCCTTTCATGCTGCTGCTGTGTGTACCCTCCACCTCCCCATCACCACCTCGTCTTCTCAGATGCAGCCTCTATTCGCCTCAGCAGTCATCGACCACAGTCATCAGCCACCTCCACCTCCACCTGTGTCTAGACTCCATGGGGAGATTATCTTGCTGCCGCTCTGATGTCCCTCAATCACAAATAATGTACCTCTGTTGTCTCAGCACCAAAGACTTTTGTTAAAATCTTATCAGCACAAATCATCTGTTAATCTGTACACTTATATTTCACATTAAACTTTATCTTTATGTCATTCTTCTATCTCTCCTGATTGAAATGCATGCGCAAGCCCAGGCATGCTAGTTGGCTGTACATAGACGAGTTTTTACTGATGTGTTTCAAATAGCGGACCCCTTTTACTGCAATTCATCAAGGATTTTCTCTGTTTTTGGATTCTTCGTTCACAGAGGAGGAATGAAAGGAAAACTTTTTGTTTTCCACAAATTCATCTTAACACAGGGTGAGTAATTAAAGTACAAATGATCATTTGGAGGCTGAAGTATTCCTTTAAAGCAGGGGTCCCCAACTGGGGTCCAGATTTATCCTTCGTCATTAGATCAGTTCACACAGTTTAATGTATTCAGCGTCATACTAGTGTGTGGCCATGTCGTCGCGCTCTCTGTTAAGTAGCTGTCTGTTGTTCACTCACTCTACAGCAGGAAACACATCAAAATAAAAGCCAGAAATTTGCTGTACTTAAAAATAAAGTGTGTTTTTATACAAACTTGACTCGTTTACGAGTCACTTGCGGTCCATTCAGAATGGACCCATGTACAACCAGTTGGGAACCACTGCTTTAAAGTAAGCATAAATGTTTTCTAACAGTATCTTCAGGAGAGCATCAATCCCAAACTCCTGCTCCTGCTCTCCTGCTTATCATAGATCACCCTGCTGTACGTATTTGTGCCCCAACATGCAGTACACTGTTTCACCATGATGCAGCGTAAGCACTGATACATAATGCATGTGGGCATGTTTGAATGATTAACGAGCTGCCTAGAAGGCAATTATTTTTCCAATCAAATATCTTTATAGTTTGTAGATAAACTATTGAGTACCTGCAGTCATGCAAAGGTCAGATGCTACAAGAGCCACTTAAAATGAAGGTGAATCGGAAATGGTGAATATCATCGCAGCTGTACTGTCTCAGCTGTTTCTTCTCCTCCCTTCCTTCCTTGCTTCCTTCCTTCATCCAGTGCCTCTGATTTAATTCAGCCTCCATTAAAACGCCTTCCTTATGGCACATTATGTGAAATCAATTGTAAACATGGTTTATAATCAGTCAACTAACCATTTAATTTTCTTATAATTGTCTAAATTGCTCAAATCAATTGTGTGACTGCCTGAGTGCAATTGTGAATGCAGGAAAAATCCATTTAAAAAACAATTTTAATCCACCATGTTCTGGTAAAAGGTGAAAGGCACTGCAGTAATGAGAAACAGGGTGACAAAGTTTCATCATCACATTCTGAAAAACCTGTTGTAAGGCAAATGGAAAACAAGATACGCAATTGTAATAAATACTGGGTTGTTGAAGATTCTGACAGATTTTCTAACAATTAGAAATCAATGTCGACGATAAACACCCTCACAGTATAAACATAATAGCCCATCTTCATCATTGTCTTCATGAGCTACATATGCTGGCGCAGCAGAATGCGTGTTAATGGGTTTGCAGCAGTCATACAATGCTTATGAACAACACCATAAAAGCCACTCAGTTCTATCACAGACCGAATCTCTTTAAATTTCCCCCGAGGCTTCGCTCAGCTCTGCTGTGACTGAGCATTTTGCTCCCACTGAACTGATGCCGACAGGATCGATCTCTCTGACAGCGCTAACAAAAGATCTACCACACTGCTCTGAGGAGCAACAGACTCCTAATGATGGATACACTGTAAAGGCTTATTCTCTACACCTCCCTTTCTTCCTCACATGCAGACAAATTTAATTAAGGACTATTATGGCGCACAGAGCTTTTAGAGATGACATTATTAAACATTACGTTTAAAATCAAGCTGAGTTAATGACCTCGGATTGTTTACAATGAGTACGGAGGTGAATGTGCAGCTTAAGAAATGCTGCATTTATTTCTTTTTAATGTTTCATGCTGCTGCTAACAGAGATAATGAGGGAAAGTGATAGAGGCTGTCTTCTGTTTTAAAGTGAGACGCAGCTGTGCTGTTTATGCACTTTATCATTAATATGCTTGGCTCATAGCATATTTGTTTTTCATGTGTTGACGGTTTGATAAATGAGACTAGAAACAATTTGACCAGACATCTTTTGTTATTCAACACACCGAACCAAAAAATATAAAAGCTAATTAACTCTAAATGGAGGGATCTCGCAAATAAAATGTATAATCGTGAGAATTAGAAAATAAGTTCATATCGTTAAAGAAAGAGAGAGAAAATGGGTGAGGTATACAACATGCAATATTTCCAAAGACCCTCCTGTCAGATGTAAAAACTAAGACAACATAATATGATATTAAAGGAACAGTGTGTAAGATTTTGGGGGATTTAGCAATGAGGGTTGCAGATTACAACCAGCTGCGACCGCTCCTGGTTAGAATTCCTTCATTGTTCAGTCATCAGGAGGTTTTAACCAGGAACCGCATTATCTGCAGAGGTCCCTTCCTATCAAAAACAATCTGACCAGATGATTTAAAACGGTAAAAGCGCTAAAACAGTTTCACGTTACAAATCAGTGTTTTTCCTATACTGTTTGACACGTTGCAAACAGGCTGCTTGGCCAGCACTTGCAAATGTGTGCTCCCCTATTTTCCTTGATAACCAGACGTTCAGGAGGTTTTTACTGTGAGCCAAACTATGTGCAGTGGTCTCTTCCTCTCCAAAACAAAAAACATGGCGACTTACACCAGTAAAAACACTTACAGAAGTAGTTTTGCATTTTAAATCTGTGTTTCTAAAGAAACTAGTGGGCAACAGCACTCACAAAAGACTAGAGTCAAAATCTAGGATTTAATAGGGCAACACACAGCCAAACAAAATGACAGACGCATTTTGGCCTAAGCCTTCTTCAGTGTATCCAGTGGCCACGCGCCACTGGATACACTGGCCACACTGGCTACGCGCCCAGCACCTGCCAATGTGTGCTCAGCTTATTTCTCTACTAACTTAAGATCCAGATGTTTTAAAGCAGGAGCTGAATTATTTGTCTCGACTTCTCCAAAGTGCTGGTAGCTATTGTCACTGAGGTGAATGGCCCTGTCTCGAGCCAATGTTTGGTTTGTCCGTTCTGGGCTACTGTAGAAACATGGTGTGCAACATGGTGATCTCTGCGGATGAGGACCTGCTCCTGACATCGATATAAACGGCTCATTCTAAGGTAATGAAAACACAATGAGTCTTATTGTCAGGTGATTATACACTAAAGAAAACTTATTTTATTATATTCAATTTCTGCCAATATATCCCCCTAAATCCTACACACTGGACCTTTAAGGGTGTTGATGTCTTTGTCATTTTGCACGGGTATGCACATGGGTGTGTATCTGTGTGACTATGTGTGTATTTATGGTACATATGTTGCTGTGTCCTATGTTGGTATAATGCATCCTCTGACCTATATTATATCAGTTATCAACAAATTATATCCCATGAACTCATGTTTGTCTTTAAATTTTTATAATTTTATTAACATTTCTTTAATATTTTATCTTTCTTCTTTCTCTCTTTCATGATTTGTTACTTCACTATTACAATGTTATATAATTTCTTTGAATAAAAAATAAATAAATAAGACAAAAAAAGAAAAATGTAAAGGTTACAGTGAGTCAGTTCTTTCAGCGGGAGAGGAGACTTACATGGGCGATGCTGATACCACAGTAGATGGAGAACGCCGTGGCCAGGTCCTCATCAAAGCGGTTGAACCACGGCCCGTTCATTTTATTCACCAGCTCTGCCACCCCAATCACCTCTAGGGGGAGGACGATTCAAAGAAAGTAGAGGAGGACAGAGGTAAAGAGGGAGAGGGGAAAAAGAAGGTGAGACAATGAGGGAGGCAATGAGTTGAAGAGAGGGAAGAAGGGAAAGTTGATGAAGAAAAACGGAGAGTCAAGGACAAGAAAATGAGGCCCAGAATGCAACAGTTTGGGAGGTGCAGAACAGTCGTTGAATCAAATAGCTCTGCTAACTTAAATTAATTTCACACTCTTAATCTGACAGTTTTCTGTATGGAGACAGATCACACAGCATCTAAAGTTCGTCTGCTCGCAGCAAGAAGAAGGGAGCACCATCAGTGTCTGAGGTTTCTGTAATTTCTAAGTATGGAGCAGACTGAGGATGGGTGCACTTTATGCACTTCAACATTTAGGAGCAAAGGTTGTGATGTAACAACTCTTTGTGCTATTCTGGGAGAGCACCTGTGAGGAAACCTTGCTTCATTTTTAAAAGGAAAAAGGAAGAGTAGGCACTGTAGAGCAGTGATTCCCAACCTTTTTCCTTATGTGAACCTTTTCTATCATTGAGGAAACTGACAACCCCGAACCAAGTGACATATTTTTATGGATATTTTATATTATATTCAATGCACGACAATAACAGCACAGAATAACTGACATCAATTCAACCATTCCTCCTCCGACTATAAAGAAACACTCTTCATCATGTATGTTGACAACTTTTTTTGGACTTTTACTTAACGCAGGATGAGGCTGTTCAGCAGTGTGAAGGCTCTGCGAATACAGCTTGTGTTCAGGTCTTTACTGTGCCCTTATCCTAAAAAATTTTTTTCAAGCTTATATCCCAACCCAACATATTTATTTAGTCTTCCTTACAGAAATAAATGAAATGCTGACACATAGACCTGATGTATATTTTTAAGAAAGAGTTTTCTTACATCGCTTTAAATCAAGGAGGCCCCACAACCCCCCTGTAAAGCTTTGGTGACCCCTAGCGGGGGTCAGGGCCCCTAGGAAGGGAACCTGTGCTGCAGAGGACAATAGAGGAGCAACTTCCAATGGTGTAGTTTTATCAGTAGCATTGCTATTGCATTAGTGGTGCATTACTGGACCCTACAGAGTAACTGCACACCTCCCTCTACAGATAACAGTTGTTGTCACATTGTGTTAAAGTACAGCAGAAAAAACATTTAGTATTTATGCTCCAAACTGCTGAGAGCCTGCCCAAGAGTAGCTGAATGTGCTTTAAACTTAAAGATATATTATGCAGAAGTTTCCTAACAAACGATGTATAGATCCATACAGAAGTATTCCTTATCAGTCATCACTTATGATCCACTACAAGTGTGCAGTGCTGTATTTTTCTGCAGAGACTCTGCCCTCTGCCTGGATTTCTTCTTCGCATCTTATTGTCTGTGTTCAGGATGTTTATGGGTGTGTACCCCCACAGCGGTCAGGTGAGGTCAGGGCTTTATAAAAAGGTAGCAACCAGGTGCAAGGCCATAAGCAGCAGGCATCCAAGAGACACAGCGCTGAAAAATGTATATATAGTGAGGTAAAACCCCAACCAGAGTGAATCTGGGGTTGACTTTTACTTCTGCTTTCGCTGCTGAGCGTGCTTACAAACAGTAACAACAGTAACAATCCTGCATAGTTTATCTTTAAAACATATAATCTTTATATCTTATATTATTGTTATCCTGTGTTTTTATTGTCTTTTAGTGATTTCATTGTTTGTATATTTCCACTTTTTTACTGTATTATTGTTCATATTTGTTCATTTTCTTCATAGTTTCTGAGTCACGTGTGAATTACACCACCCTGTATGAGAGGTGTTTTACAAATACGTTTGATTAAGAAAATAACTTTTGACTTTCTGTGAATGTTGAATGAAAGAAGTTTTTGTGTGTGTTGGTGTGGAAGTCATTGTTGTTACCGTTGTTCTCATCTTTGATGGGGAAGCAGAGGATGTTGCGAGTCTTGAAGCCGGTGCTGTCGTCCACGCCGCGGTAGAAGAGAGGATGGGAGTAGGCATCCTTAATGTTCAAGATCTGACCGGTGGTCGCCACGTGACCTGCAATACCCTGATCTGCTGGAATACGGAACTCCTTCTGCACTCGCACACACACGGACAGACAGACAGACACACATGCTCATGTCATCAAGAGACAACTTAACTCTAGTACACTTTTGCTTTGAATTGATTGATGGCAGTACAGTCAGACAGGAAATGTGGGGCGAGAGCATAACAATGCAACCATGACGCTGAAAATATAATCACAGCATCCTGCATTCTAGTCTGGACGGGGACCTTTGTTGAATATCATGCCGCATTTCCTTACTTAAACATCTTTCATTGGCCAGTTTTAGTTGGTTAGAGGAACATATTAAGCCAAACACAAGACAGTCGCTTATATTCCATTACACTGTGAATGCATCAGAGCTCCAGGCATCAGAGACAGCCACACAGCTAACACAACCTGCTCTCACTTCTAACTTATCAAATGCTGACGCTCGGTAGGTGGCCCTCGACAAGAGGGCACCTTTTAGCAGTGCTATGAGACGCACTGGGCTGTGGCATTTTTCACGCTCTGAGCAACTGCTGTAGTATAAAGAGCGGCAAAGTAAGTGTCAAACAAACTCTAGTGTAAGAGCCACTTAAGCACGTATTTGGTAAGGACTTCTGTGTTGATATGACATTTCATATAGATTCTAATGATATTTAAGTTTACACAACAGTTTCTGTATATTTTAAACAGTGTATGGTAGTGGACTGTACTAAGGCTATGTTTATATTCACTTTATTCATGTGTTAAAATGCAGGTACAAGTTATTTACGCCAGGTTTGATGCTGTAAGGCATTTCAGTGCGCATAAAACAAAAGGGCTGTGGACAACGTTGTGTAAAAGACGATGTGAAGTTTGTGTTGAGTTGGATCGTAATACGTTTTTGACCATATTACACAGTGTTTAAGTATAATAACGGTAACTGTATGAGATGAAATTTTGGACAACTTGGTCTGCCGTTTTGTTTTCCTTTTTTGCATTCTCAATAAACCTCGAAACTGCCACTACATCTAGACTTTCATCTGGAAAACCACTGTTCTTTTCCCATTTAAAGACCAGAAAATTGATTTTTTTTTTTTTAACAACAAGGTAGTGTGCTATCATGTGCAGCATGTGGAAACTGATCATTTACTGTGAAAACGGAAGATTATTTTGAAAAGACACAGTGCATGTAACAAGCGTAAATTGAGAAGCCCTCCCTAAATGTCCAAAACCAATGTTGGAGAGGCACCTAGTGAGAATGTTTTGGGAGTGAGAATGTTTTAACAAAGACATTTGCTTTTGGATTTATAATCATGGACTTGTTTCACAAAGTCTTCAAAAAGACACAGCAGTTCAAGACTGGAGTAAAAAACATCTGAGAGGGATACTATTGCACGGGAACAGCATGATGGCAAAAAAATCTGTCTCTCACTTGCAGCGTTCCTGAGATATTTAATGTTAGTAACGTTGTGTCGTACACAACATCGCTGGTCGCAGAGTTAACTTCTATAGTGTCCAGTATGTCATAGTTTCCTCATCAGTCCTGTTCAACACTTGGTGGGGAGACACAGCTCAGTTTGAAAAGCACCATTTCAGCGATACTGCACACAGTTTATTTTCAGATTGTGTCACATTAGACATCCTTTATTTTTCACTTCCCCGATCAGACAACTGCATGAGGCATCCACTTGCCCCAACACAGAGGTTACTCGTCAGGTGGGTAAGCGTTAATGTTGAACAATTTCTGACAAGGAGAGACGACAAAATGCAGCCATATTGGTTAAATACCTATGTAATATCTCTGCTGATAACCTCACAGTCCCACAGCGGCACTGAGACATTCATTATACATAGCTACATCCCTTGTCTCTTCAATAAAGGCACAACGTCTCTCCCTGAAAAGGTCACCGGTCAATGGGTTTGTGTATGTGAGCAACTGGAGGCTCGTGTGTCGTACCTCTTCGTCACTGACCACGCCTCCGTCAAACACCTTCGCCACCAACTCATGACTGAGACGATCCAGCAGGAACACGGAGCAGCTAGAGGAGAGAGGAAACGAGAATATCTCATTTCATCTCAGGTCATTTTGTAACTTCAATTAAATGCGACAAGTCGGTTAGGAACAAATTGCCAAGATAGCCTTTTCAAATGGTGATAAAGACATTCCCATTTCACACACACACACACACACACACACACACACACACACACACACACACACACACACACTCTCTCTATCACACACACATGTTGAAACATTCCTTTGAAGATGAATCAGAGGGCTTACATCTCTGCGCCACTGAGGTTCCTGGCCTCCACTATAATTTCCTGTAACAGCACTGACACATCATCTGAAAGAATTAGGCAGAGAGAAAGAGAGTGGGTGAGAGCGGAAACAAAAGGAAAGGAGAGGAAATTAAAGGAAATATCAGCGAGGCCCAGATAGACAAAAACAGAGATTATACAGTGAGTACAGCGGTGGATAGGCTGTACGAGCTGATATGAGCTTTTGTAATCAACGGTTCTGTACAGTGAGAGGCAATTTGCTCCACCAGTGGATCAATTCTTTGCACCTGCAATCGTGATGAATCATCAACGACTCCTTCCACAGTTGGTGCTTACTGTTGGATACGAATCTAAATGACTCAGTGTAATTATAGGATAGAGAGGTGGAGCCATCACTTTTAATGCCCTTTTGATTTTATGGTTATGATCCTGGGTGTAATCACCTTTTCGGTAATATCTCATTCAATTACGTGCGCCATTCGTTTCACTAGGTGATCACTTAAATATCAGCCATTAAGGCAAATTGTCCTACGACGTTCTTCCTTCGCAGACACAGACAGGCAGGACTTACCCAAGTGTGTGAAGAGATTCTTGGCCACTTGTAAGAGTGCCTGTGTGGAGAGACAGCGGACAGGAAAAGCTCTTTAACTTCATGCATATTTATGTATGCGTATACAGTATGTGTGTGAGTGTGTGTGAGGGAGTGTCAGTGTGGGCGTGTGCAGTACCTGGCACTCCACTTTGAGTTTCTGTTCCTTCTGGAAGGCCAAAGTTGAAGTGAGGACTGTTGAAGTGTAGCAGAAACAGTGCTGGATTGCATGCTCATCTGCCTCTGTGTGTCTGCGGCGGAGAACACACACACACACACACACACACACACACACACACACACAAAGTTGCATGATAAATCAGAATTCAGACAGAGCTAATAGGCTGCTGTGGGACATCAGATACTCAAAACGTTTACGAATGTAGAGCTGAAACGGCAAATTAATCAATCGGTTGATGGTTAGAAAATTACTCTGCAACTAATTTGATAACAGATTAATCATTTTGCAGGAAACTAGAATTACTGCGTCATGGTTCAATGTCAAGCTGGAGTACGGACTCATATGTCGCCATGACAGGTGACAACGCTTCAAATATGGATGTTACTGCAAAGAAGCTATACATTTTAAAACATGCTTCACACACATCTTCAACTCGGCAGCACATATGATCTGTATAATCAGCACAGTTCCAATGTGGGCACCCAAGATTATCCAGTATCTGACTAAATGTCTTCCCCTCTGTTTTTGAGTTATGGTGTTGAATAACGGCCAGAAATATGTCTCTGCAGAACATTATGATGTCACAGTGAAGTTGACCTTTGACCTTTTGGTTATAAAATGTCTTCACTTCATCACTGTATCGGGCATTTGTGTGAAATCTTGTCATAATTAGTGTATGACTTCTTGAGTTATGGCCAAACACATGTTTTCTGAGATCACAGTGACCTTTGATCACCGAACTCTGATTACTTCATTGTTGAGTCCAGTGGACGTCTGTACCAGTTTGAAGAAATTCTCTCAGTGTGTTCTTGACAAGAATGGGGTGGACGGATGGACAAGCTGAAAACATAATGCCTCTGGCGACGGCTCTTGCCGATGTGGAAGCATAAAAACAGGAATGTTCTGGGGGACCCCAAGGCGTTCCCAGGCCAGATGAGGAATATAATCCCTCCAGTGTTTTCTGGGTCTGTCCCGGGGCCTCCTGCCAGTGGGACGTGCCTGAAACACCTCTAACGGGAGGCACCCAGGAGGCATCCTGATCAGATGCTCGAACCATCTCAACTGACCCCTTTCGACATAAAGGAGCAGCGGCTCTACTCCGAGCTCCCTCCGAATGTCCGAGCTCCTCACCCAATCTCTAAGGCTGAGAAACTCATTTTGGCGGCTTGTATCCGCGATCTCATTCTTTCGGTCACTACCCAGAGCTCATGACCATAGGTGAGGGCTGGGACGTAGATGGACCAGTAAATCAAAAGCTTTGCCTTCCAGCTTAGCTCCCTCTTCACCACGATGGACCGGTGTAACACCTGCATCACTGCAGATAATTGTAAACTGAACATCTTCAGATGCTCTGTCATCTCGGGCTTTGGAAAATTGTGATTGGACTTTTTTTTTTTTTTTTTAATCACTTTTTAAAACTACTGAATCAGTGGTGGAACGTAACTAACATCTACTCAATTATTGTACTTCACTGTGGAGACATGTGAGAAGAAGCTTTCTTTACGAATTGGAGATAACACGGGTAGTTGAGGCGGCACGTTGGTGCAGTGGTTAGCATTGTCACCTCACAGCAAGATAAGAGGCTTCCTGGTTCTAACCCAGGGGGTGGAGTTTGCATGTCCTCCTCGTGTCCGGGTACTCCAGCTTCCTCCCACAGTCCAAAGACATGCAGGTTAATTGGTGACTCTGAATTGCCTGCAGGTATGAATTTGAGTGTGAATGGTTGTCTGTCTCTATGTGTCAGCCCTGTGATAGTCTGGTGACCTGTCCAGAGTGTACCCTGCCTCTCGTCCAGTGTCAGCTGGGATAGTGGATAATGGATTATAATCTGTGGATTCATTGATAATGAAAATAATGCAGCCAAAGACAGGCCTGATTCATAATTATTATCTAAAAAACACTTACAGCTGTGTGAGACTTAAATTACTGTAATATGTCTAAATCACAACAGAAGCAAACTCTGGTTTCCTGTGACCGTTAAACATGGCTGTCAATCTCCTTTAAAATTAAATGACTGGAGAACCTGAGAGCATTTAGGAGGCAAATGAAGACTGATGAATGAAATTATCTGCAGTGACCACAGTGATGCTGGTAATTGCCTGCCGTTCTCTCTCTCAGCCTACAGAGGGCAGTGGCAATGTGCTGCATGCTACCAGTGTTGCTGTGCGCAGCAGTGTGTGGCTCCAGGGCTTTCTGTCCCTGAGTTTGGATGGAAGCAGCATTTGACCCGAACCTGGAAAAGGCCTGGGAAGTTCATACTCTTGATACTCTTGTAAAGAGTATTGAGAGTCTTGTAAATCAGGCTATTTGCAACAGTCTCTATTTCTGCAGCAAGAGTCGAAACAAGCAAGAGTCAATTTCCCAGGAACTGAAGTCAGACACACAGCAGTAAAAAAGCACACAGCAGGTTCCCACGGGGTTGGCTGCAGTTTCTAAGACAGTATGAGAAATGAATCCAACAGCCTACTAACATGGCCTTCTGAACATAAAAGCTCATCCCATGTTGGCCTTATACATCCTTATATTCTTACACTGCTGCTTAGGGTTCAGGTTTATCATGAGGCCACACGTCACTCTGTAATGGTTAGAGCGTAGTGTTCTCATCTGCTGGCATCAAAACTGAGTTATGACCACTTACTGGTACCACAATATGTTTCCATGCACCTGTGTCCTAGGGTAATTGGCTAATTTACACTTTGAAGAATCCAGGCAGAGAGAACTGTGCACATGAATATGCAATCTATAGATGAGGGGATGTATCTCAGAGATGTATGTCTCTGCTAAAATCTGGATGACTGTGCTTGGAGCGAAGGATAGATTTATCACATTTTATGCACAGTTGTGACCATAATCCTGCTGCTGTTACTATGGTAATGAGATGCCAGCTCTGTCATCTGTGCCACTGGCAGAGGGAGAAATTATACGACATGATCCCCTCTCATCTATCTTAGTCTTCAGAGAGAGAGAAAGAGAGAAGAAGAGAGAAAGAGAGGATGGAAAGCAGAGGGATTGTACTGTACGGGAGCGCGAGCATGTGTACAGTGTGTGAGTGTGCATGTGAGGTGTGTGTTTGTTAGTGAGAAAAAGAGATAAAATACAGAATACACTAATCTCCAAGCATTTAAACATAAGACAAAGAGGCGTATGCTGCTTGACAAAGAGATAGGGATGGATAGATAGATGAATGGATGGACGGACGGACGGACGGACGGACGGACGGACGGACAGACGGACAGATAGATAGATAGATAGATAGATAGATAGATAGAGTTTCTTAGAGACGGTTCACCTCTCATCCAAGAGGCCTCTTCAGTTGTAACAGACAGGTTGTAGGTGGGATGGATGGATGGATGGATGGACCTACAATGCAGTCTTGGGATCCCTCCCTTAACACCCATTCACACCTGGATCCATCCAATCCTAACAACCGGGTGGACCAACGACTCACATGTGACCTTAACAACTATGTAAGGGTTCCCACACCCACACAGAGTTTAAAGCCTGTGACTCCACACCCGTCTGTCAGAACTGAAAAAGTCTCTTGGATGAAGGACGAAACATCTTCAAGAAACTCAAGCAAGTCCAGTTGCCTACGATATAGCACTTAAGATTGCCATGACCTGGATGACTGAGATAGATAGATAGATAGATAGATAGATAGATAGATAGATAGATAGATAAAACTTTCCTCACTCTCTCAGACAGTTCCTTAAGCAAACAGACAAACACAGACAGCCACAGCTGGAGTGCGTTTTTATGGACTTCTGTATTCAGGAGATAGCAGCATTGCTCCTGGCAGCATCACACACACACACACACACACACACACACACACACAAACAAATACATGCCAAGACATGGTGCCAAACCAGGCAGCCAAGCCACCCGCTGTTAGACTCATGACCCGACTCTAGATCATCGCATAGCCATCTGCATCGTCACGCACACACACACACACACACACACACACACACACACACACACACACGGGGCGATGGTATGCATTCATGAGGGCAGCACGTTCTGCTGGTTGGCGGCAGACTGCAGTGGAAACAGCAGCAAACTCTCCACTGCTATGAACTCAACAAATCTGAGCCGTTGAGCTCAACCAATCAGGCCAACCCATCCCAACATTACTGTAAGCCGCTGTCAGATAAATCTTTGTATCTACCATGAGTCAGCGCTTCAGGAATTAGGAAAAGCCAAATCGTCTTCAGCCTGACATCACAGCATTTTAAATATACTTTAGCAATAAACCAGCAGTGGCTAAATTACAGTAATTTTAAAGGTAAGCCAACAGGTTAAAAACGTGTCTGTTTTTGACGTAAGGAATCTTCTGCGCATGAAATGGTTCAGTGTGATCTTGTGATCACAAAATGGAAAAGGGTTAATGATAGCTTACAGTTTAAACTCTCACATACATACCTTTGCCCACCCTGCTTGTTGAAGGCGCACGCTAGAGCCACCACCTGACCGGTGGCCCTGCTCGCCACCGGTACACAAAGCATGGAGGAGATCTCACAGCCCAACATGCTGGACAGTTGCCTTCGCTCCTCCTGAGAGGAAGAGAAGTGGAAAAATCAGTTTGATATAGCGACAGAATAAATGGATAGATAAATAGATAAGAAAGAAAGAAACTGCTTACAGCACTGATGTCCTGAAGAGTAATCGATTTCTTCTTCTCCACAACCTGACCAAAGCGTCCAAACATCAGCTGAATAGAGAGAGAAGGAGAGCGATAAAGGCCGTGTGATTAAAAGAAAAACAATGTAATGAACCCGAGAGACAGGAAACAATCATAATTGCTGAGAGAGTCGCTGGTGATTCTCTTTAAAATATATAAATAGAGCTTGTTTATTCTGAGTCTATTACCTCTCTTGTTAAATTAACACAAATAACCCATCTTGGGTGTGTGTTTCTCTTTGTGTCCTTATATTCCACACATCATTTGGCCTCGGATACAAGGTCTATTAGCACCATAAAGCCTGTTACAAATACTACATCGGCGCCGCAACCGGGGACAGGAGACTTAAAGCGACCTGAAGGAAGTGATTACTTGCCCAAATTTCTTAATTATAACCCCTGTCAGGGATTATAAAAGATTACATGTGGGGGTTTAGTCTACCGTGTCAGTCAGAGAGACCTGCAACACTTGCATTTAAAGTATGCTCGTTAAAAATGGCAACAAACCTCCCTAAATGTATCTTATCGTATGACCTCAGTGTGAAAAACTCAAGTGAATGAATGAATGAAGGTGTGATTTACTTAACTGGGAACGAAGACCACAAACATTATATACAAATAATGTCAAAATGAATATCTATATGAATTCTCGTGTTTGATGGTCTCACCGGGAAGCTGATCTCCTCCTCCAAGACTTTGTCTCCAACTACCTGCAGGTCACAGAGGTCAGAGGTCATTTAATGGAGTCACTGCTAAAACAGTATGTAACATTTATTTGTGTCTTCTTATGCTTATTTGTGCGTACCTGGCAGAAAAGCTGGTGGTTGTCCTCGGATACCAGCAGCAAACAACAGCACTGTGAATGAGTCTGCTGCTGCAGCTGAAGGAGAACACAAACATGCTATCAGTCCTGATAAAAAGTCATAAAAACTCTCCTTTTATCAGGCTCAGTCGGGCATTTGGAGCCGAGTCGAGGTGTGAAGATAAGATTAGACATCGGCGGACAAAATGACTGGAGCAATAATTCAATACTATCTACATTGTCTGGCAGAAGCATCGGCGTGCCAAAAAAAGAATTGTTAGTGTGAATTAAAATATCTCACACAATAAAATCTGGAGTAAATTCAGAGTTTGTGAGAGGAGTTATTCAACTGTATTTTCATGGACAGTGATAATACAAAAATATCATGTTACTATAAACTGCCTCACATGTCTACACATACTCATACATGCTCCTATAATGTTGCATCCTTCACCTCATGATCATCTCTTAATCCTGTTTCCCTGTCACAAAAGAGAGCTATAAGAATGATTGAATTATTATAAATAATTGAATTATAAACCAACCTGTTAGAGCCATTTCTAGCAAGTCCTAGTGTCCTATTATGTTTTGAGTCACTTTAATGCCACCTGACCTGGCATCTCGGGACCCTTTAATTAAAGGCGGGTGTGCTGAGGTGTGGAAGACACCACGGGGTTACAGGCTTTAACCACTGTGTATTTGGTTAGTCTTGGTTTTTTATTGTGTGATGAAGTTGTTTAATGCCCCATTGATCTGAGCTTTGTCTTTGTAAATGCCTGTTAATTTGGGGAGTGTTTGTTTGGAGAGTTTTCATTTTTTTGAATGTGACAGTCATAGTGTCATCTTGCAAGTCCCCACACATCATGCAAATCAATCAACTCTTAAACCTGGATCATCAAACAGTGAGTAAGACTAAAGCAAAGACAGTGAGTTCATCATATCTCCCGTTATGGCGTCTGTAGGCGGATATTTTTTAACTTATTTGGAAGCCGCAATACAACCAATGCTCTACTTATTAACTCACATGCTTAAAAATGTTGTGAACTGCAAAGATAATGTACAAAGCAAACAATAATTTGCTTCCTTATTGTACTCAGAGGCTGTTTGAAATTAGAGAAAGCCACTCTTAGGGGAATAATTATGTAAAAAAAAAAAAAAAGAAAGAAAGAAAGAAAGCGAAAAAAAGGTAATAATAACAATAATAATAATAATAATAATAAAATAAATTTAAAAATATGTAAAAAAAAAAATCTACAAAGTGTGGATTATTAACATGATAATTATTTTAAAGAATAAAAAATATTTTTTGTATTGATTCTCTTTTTGTTTTTTGTTTTTTTTACAGTCTAAACCTGTTGGTGAATGCGTTACTTACCACTATATCATACTACTATGAGGGATTAAAGCATTTGTGCAAATAACAGAATCAATTTTAAGAATTAATTTTGATTCTGACACACGAGCAAGGTTTTTCTTCGATGCTGACTCCCCACATAAACACAGAAAAAGTCACATATAGGTGTCTGCGTCCATCTTAATGAAGGAGTATGTAATGAGAAACATTTCATTCATAGACTAAAAAGCACCTCTAAGGTGGGAACACACGCCCGTATGTGCACAGTTACACAAATACCGCAGGGGCATAACAATGTACATGATCACACACACACACACACACACACACACACACGTATACACACAGTCATGAGAGCAGCATTTCCTCACACATCATTCTTCTCTGTAATCCACAGAGCTGGATAGAGAACAAGCAGGAAAAGGATATACACCAGCCGCTGCCAACACACTCGCCCCCCAGTCACACATGTAAGCACTCAACAACACACATGAACTCACAGACACACACACATACACAGCACAAACATACACAAGCAAGTCGTCGCACCCACATATCATAATAAACCCTTCCACCCCCTTTTTCCCAAATACAGTTAATCTCGTGAGAGCCGCCCTGAGCACTTCCCACCAAACTGACGATTCCTCAGAAGCAACAATCTCCCGCTTCTTTTCCTCCCTTCCTCCTCCCTCTCCTCCCTCTCCTCCCTCCCCCCTAACCCCTTTTTACAACTGTAACAATAAACAGGCGAAACAAATCATGTCGGATTCGAAATGCATTTGAAAACCCCTGCAGCTTTTTGCACCACCGCGACTTCTCCCTCTCCTTTTCTTCAGATGCGGAAAAACTACTACAAATTCAGGTTTAGAGGAATCAGAGGCTGATGTTTTAGATGCAGGCTGCACTGCGGTGTTGTTTCACCCCGAGGATCTAAGTCCTGTGGCGTCAAGGTAGCAGCGAAGGTGCAATCTCTAATTGTTTAGATTTGACCAGACTTTTTGGGGAAAGGAGGAGAGTGCTTTAAAACAAGAATAAAAAAATATATTTGTTTTCTGCTGCAAGAAGACACAGATCACTGCGGTTAACAGCCCTCATTAATAAAAAATGACAAGAAAAATGAGAAAAAGAATGAGCTTATGATTATGCACCAGACTCCTTCTAATTAGCAACAATTTAAGATAAAACAATCAATATTTTAATCATTGAGTGCGTAAACTGCAAAATAAGATTTTCACATTTTTTAACATTTATTTAGATTAATATTTAAAATCTGAGTTGTACCTGTTGTTTAAAAATGAAAACAAACACTAAGAATTTCACAGAGTTTTTCTTTTTGTATAAAAATAATGAGCCTTTGTGACAGTCAACCAGAGGGGAAATAAATCCCCAGAATTTCCTTGACATATTAGGGCTGCAACTAATTGTTGTTTTCATAATCAATTTCATTTGCCAATTATTTTCTAGATCCATTAAATTAATTCGTTATTCTATAAAATGTCAGGATAAGGTAAAAAATGTCTGTAACACATCCAAAATGACATTTTCAACTTCTCAAAACTCAAAGAAATTCAGTTTAAAATCACACAAGATGAATGAAAGCAGCAAATCCTCGCTGAAAACCAGTGAATGCAAAGTCCTTGATTTTTTAGTGGAGACAAACTTTGACTTAACTTTCTGCTTTACCAAAACTTGTCTCAAAAAAAAATTCCACCATGCTCAGTAAGCAGTACGAAAAACAGAATCACAAGCATAAGGTGTGCATAAGGTCATTAGACTTCCTTGAAGCTCTGCTGGACTGAGACTTCGTCCCTTTGATGCAGCGTAACCTTCAAATCTCCTTCCTCTCTCCTGCAATATCCCTCTCCATCTCATATTTTCTTTATCAGTGAATAATTCCATACATTTAAATTGTTGTCAGGTTTCTGCACACACTGTAGCTGATAGCTCCTCTCTCTGTATCCCTCCTCTCTCCCCCAGCTTTTACCTCACTGCAATCAATCACTGCACCTCCTCCCCTCCTTCTCACAGAGAGTCTATCATATTTATGGAGGGGGGGCATACTGTTACTGTGGGGAGACCGATGAAGCAATTGTGTGATAAAAAGCTTGTGGTATAGGTAATGACAGGACGAGGGGAACAAGTCACCAGGAAGGATCTCATGTTCTGCATGTACTGTATGTCTTTAACTGTGTGTGTGTGCGTGCACGAGGGAGCATATGAAAGATCTCAACCACTTACATAATTGATGACTTTGAGCTGCAGAGAGGCCGCATCAAGGTCAAAGAGCTCACCTGAAAGAGAAGAGGGAGAGAGAGAGAGTGATGGGAGTGAGAACCAGAGAGGAGCACGGGCAGGTTGGCGCTAAGGAAGACGGGGAAATGCAGAGCATGTACGCAACTGGACAGAAAGCAATCCAGGGAGGGATGTGAGGAGAGAAGGAGGTCGGGGCAGGGTGAGCGGGGACCAGCTAACAGAGGGACTAATAATGAAGACAGGACAGAGGATGGAGGACCGTCTGGACTGCAGATGAAGACAGAAGGAACGAGCTGGACAGGGAGCACAGAGAGGCGAGGCAGAGGCCGGGGGAAATAAAACGGAGGAGACTAAAGCCGACTCATATTTGTTGACAATTACCAGGGAGTAAACAACGTTGATGCATGTGTATATGCATAGGAAAGGCATTAGCGAGTCCACTTCCATTATGCATGAGATTTTAAACAGCGTTTCTGCGGTCTGTTTTCACACAGGAGCTGTCACACATTGCTTGTGCCACTGACGGAGTCCATCTAAATTCATGGAGCTTTTTATCCAGATGGGCATAGCCTATTAACATAGGACACCTCATATATACCACTAAGTGTGTGTGTGTGTGTGTGTGTGTGTGTGTGTGTGTATAATTATGTTTACTTCACAGTGTGGTGTCTGTATAATTGAGGTAAAGATGATGTAAGAAGTGAGGGAGTGGAGGAGGAGGATTATTTAACATGCCTCGATGTATGTTTGTGTGAACCATTTGTGTGTGCGTACCACAGAGTTGCAGGATGTTGCGGTCCAGCTCGCAGTAGTCCTGCTCCGAGACGTTGAGGTGCAGCAGTGCATTGTGGGACTGTATGGGAGAGGGGCTGAGAGGAGGCCTCTGGTAGGACGTCTGAACAGCCTGGACTCGCGTGCATGCCACTGAGGCCTGCAACGTCATGCACGTATGCAGAAACACAGACAGGGGTGGGTCAGTTTACTGAGTATGAATCACATTGCAATTTTTGTAATTAGCCCCATCATCCATTGCATTACCCACTCCACAAAGTGGAGCACTTCTCAGACATGCTTTTCATGAGGTTACAAAGTATTGTTATCATGAAAGACAGTTTCATGATTTAGGACAATATTAAAATCTGATCATGTAATCCTTGACAATGTAATGAATATTGTCCATCACACTACAAGCAAACAAATCCCATTGCACTAAACTAGATTAGATTAGAAACTAGATTTTTGTTCAGGATCATCACCGAAAACTATAAGAAAATCCACAGATCCTGTTTGGCTTTGTAAAAAGAAGCAAAGTCTCAAATGTCACATGACCCACAAACTTACAGGAAGCGATCCATAAGCGTAAATTCGACTTCATGTGTCTTTGCTGGTGAAACTGTTTACATTTGTAAAACCTGTGACACTTTCATGTGAAATTAAAGTATGTGTTTACAGAGTAAGGTATATGCATTTGCACATCAATCTGTATTTCTGTGGATATGACCTTACACAACACAAAAATAAAAAGTGAAGTATTTGAGGATCATAGCACACATTTGTAGATTGTCTTGTGTGGGTTACAAAAAATTAAGTCCAATAAAAACACCCATATGATTTTTTGTAACCTCATTTTATAGTCCTGAATCCATGTAATCCGTTACAACCCAACACTGCAGACGAGCAAAGTCAGGTGAGATTACAGAAAATTTGAGGGAGCAAATTATCAGACTAAATACAGTTCGATGCTTTCATCCAGAAAAATGAATGAATAAAACAAAAACCCACTGTCAAGTAAACATGACCAGTTTTTATACAGAAATCAATACTGAGAAAGTGAGTGTGAATCCAACACACACGTTTCTGCAAAGTTATAAAATGACAGATTTTTCTTTTTTTAATATTAATAGACTCTATCCAGGACTGCAAGCGGTCTTAATATAAACTTTTTAAAGAAGCAGAAACAAGCTTTTTGGATTTATGATCTCAGAAACTTCCAACTTCAAGGCTGTTTTTATGGTTATTTTATTAAAGAGTTTGATAGTTTAGCACGCTGTTTTAATGTAAATTCTATCCTTGCTGCTACGATGATATTTTTGCAATGTTTAATGGTGTATTTTCTTTAAGTTTGTGTTTTCTTTTTAGGTGCAGCATCCTTTAAAAGCTGGCGATGTGTCTCCAGTTCTCAGAAGATAATCAACAGAGAGAACGCCTTCTTGTAAAGTACATACAGGCTGTGCTTTAAACCCTCTGATAAAGGCCCAGTATCGAAACGTGTTGAACTCTTGCAGTAAGTCCGCTACTGTTGCCAAGTTGCTTATTTTTTACATATGTGACCATAAAAAACAGATAAAGAGAGAGCTTACATGTTTCTCCAGCATGTTAAGATGCAGTTCATCCTGATCAGATAGTGGATTACAGCCCACCTGCAACACACACACACATTTCAGTGCAGTCCAGTGAATGAGCTTGACTGTTGCCTCTGTAGAGTTCATTTAATTTGCGAATGTTGAGTGAAACCAAATGAATACGACTATATGTCATTCAACTGCAACTAACTTTTCATGCAGGAGGTAATGTCATCATCATTAGAGTTTGCTTTTGTTGCTTCAGTTTATTGATTTATAAACCTTTTTGTATGTCCTCAAATGCAAGGACTTACCAGTAAGACAGCGATGGCCTTGTCCTGCTCCTGATCCAAGAGAGGAATGACAACAGCTGAAAGAAAGAACGAATACAAAAAGAAAGGAAAAGCATTCATATTATGTAATGCGTTGATTCAGACAAAACACATTCTTGGTCCTTTTATCGGCCCCCTTCAATTTTCTTTCCATGTCCTTGTCTTGCTCTTAATCTTTTTTGTTCTCTCTCTGTGTTCTGATAGGAATAAGCAGGGGAAAAGAACATGGGAAATAATAAACCTAATGTCCTTGCGTAACTGTTCTTTCTTTCCTTTCATTTTTTGCTCCCGTCAGTGTGGAGCAGAAAGCAACAGCAGATCTGTATGGACAAAATCTGTTTGATCTTGGGGGTGCATGTGTGGACAGCAGGCGAAACGGCAGACAGAGTGATGTGTTTACCACGCTGGTACCAAACTATCTCCTCTTTCTGCTGCAACATGAAATGTTCAGTGATATTTATTGATCCGCAGAGTGCAGAGTGGTCGTGCATGTGTACTTTAGGATGTCTCTTCATGATTACATCCCCTCAGGTTGTTCTCTCATTCCTGTTTTTAGATAAAAACAAAAAATGTTCATTTGAAGAGGAATGCGGAGTGTGCTCGATGCGCTCCATGTGAGCCCTTACATTTTTTTCTCATCACAGACCTTTCATTGCTTTTTTTGTGGGGGGGGGGTCTCTTGTCCAATTTTATTGCCCACGCAGCTCCATACCTATCCCTCTGCAATCATCATCTCTTGTTAGCTACTTCTCTCTACCTCCGTTCGTTTTTTTTTTTCTCCCACACTCTCACATCTCTCTGCTCCTCTGCATGAACAGGAGCACGCTTACACACCCTCAAACAAGCACGCACACTCAGATGTTGGTCCATTTGTCTGTCTGCCAGCACCATTCAAGCCCCTGCTACACCCTTTAACATACACACATGCTGAAGAGCCACACACACCTCTTCTGTGTGCTGGTAATGGAGCTGCGAGGCAGATTCTGTATTTCTCTGGCAGTTCGGACGGAGGGAGGCCGGCGCACTGACATCGCTTCAGCTGGTCCACAATACTCCTAAGACACAGAGAAAGACAATTACCTCCAGCACATCACACACTGCGAGGAGCACAGAGAGAGCGTGTCAGACGCTGGGGAGACAAAGAGGAAGAGGGGATTTGGAAGACAATTGGAGCAAATGGAAAAATAATCACCAGCATTACAAAAACAGACACGTTGTGCTCACTGACACTAACCAAAACATGTCTGAATAGAACTATTATTCACTGTCAAATTATATGAACTCAATACAGCCATGTGTGTGTGTGTGTGTGTGTGTGGAGGTGCTGGCCAGGTGTGAAGCCAGGTGTGATGATGGCAAAGGCGCAGCTCTGTGCCTGTGTTACATTTAATACAGAGGGCAGCTCTCTTATGCTAAAATATGATACATTTATTTATTCTGGACTGACGACTGCCAGATGACACAAATGCACACGCATTTGCACACATGCACAAAACACACGTGTGCCTCCGCACCTCAGTGAGCAAACACACTCAGACTTGCATGAATATGGAAATGAAGGACAAAAAGAAGGAAAATAGTTTCACTGATGCACACAGGTAAATTCAACATCTATGTGCTTCTCATAATAATCTACTGAAACCCCCAGCAGCTACACACACACACACACACACACACCCACACACACACACACACATTGCAGCAGTCACTCCATTACATGCTCACAGAGTCTAAAATCCCCTCAAACCATTGCAGCCAAATCTCCGCATGGTGCATTGATTTTAAAGTGTCCATTTATTTCAGCTCACTGAGGAACAGTCCACTTCAGTTGTTGCAGTTTACTATGGTGGCAAATACAACTGACCTTTGTGTATTGTCTTTGGTCAAAGCAGCTTTACTGCACGAGCGTGAAGCCAATTTATCGCAGGCACGGCAAAGAGCAAAAAACCCACCCTGGGGCGCTGAGAAAAACACTGTTATTTAGTTGTTGCTGTGCAACAATGACACACCTATTAGATGATGCAATTTACATGTCTGATGTATAGAGATAAGTATAAGGTTGACTAAAGCCTCACAAATCAGCTCGGAGCAGTCAGCAGCAACACTAGCTCAAATTGAATAACATGTAGGTCAAAGCTGGCGTGGTGGGCGGTGTGTTGACAGTGCAGCAGTGGCCGGTGACCACAGTTAGAGACATGGAGATGGACATTTAAATAGGTCACTCAGATACAGTAAAAGTGGGTGTGTATTTGGCACTCATGGAAATGAGCGAATGATTAATTTATCTGGGTGATGCTAATGACTTCATGTTCCTGCCTAAACCGACATCACGAGCCCCATTTGTCATAACTGCTTAGCCGTCATTAAGAAACATTGCAGCTCTGTGCAGCTGACGGCGAGCCAGTGTGCGAATGTCTTTGTTAATATATGCAGCTCAGGTATTGTGTTGTGTGCTATTTTCTGTATGAGGTTTTTGCAGATGACGGAATATGAACGACATGATCGACAGTGCGTGAAATAGTTCTTCTCTCCACCATAACAGTTATTAGTCTGTGTGTTTGTCCATATATGTGATCATTTGTGCATTTTATAAAACTCTAAAGGAGAGTGGCAGTCCAAAGGCACGCACTTTTTAAAAGTCATAGCTCACAGAAATTGGTTCAGTCAGGCCAGTTTTTTTGATTTATAAATCTTTTGTGCTTATGACTTATTGGCGGCTGTGGCTCAGGAGGCAGAGTGTGACGTCCACCAGTCGGAAAATCTACGTTTCGATCCCTAGCTTGTATGCGAAAGTATCCTTGGGCAAGATACTGAACTGGCCGTGCCATTGGTGTGTGAGTGCATCTGATTATTTAAACTGAGTAGCAGTTGCCAGCAGTTGGCACCTTGTATTGTAACCTCGGCCACTGGTGTGTGAATGTGTGTGTGTAAATGGGTGAATGTGACTGTTTTGTGTAAAAGCCCTTTGCGTGGTTGGGAGACTAGAAAGGCGATCGGTGATATACTGTACATTCAAATCTGCATTTTGAGTCGTATCTCGTTCGCTTCATTACTTTCAGGTGACCATGGGTCAGAGGTAGAGCACGTCGTCCACTAATTTGAATATTGGCAATTCGATCCCCGGCTCCTCCGGTCTGCATGTTGGAGTATCCTTGAGCAAGATAGTGAACCCCAAATTGCTCCTGATGGCTGTTCCACCAGTGTGTGACTGTGTGTGTGAATCTGTAGTGTAAAAGCGCTTTGAGTGGTCAGAAGACTACAAAAGTGCCATATAAGTGCAGGTCCATTTATTATTATAATGTGTCGTTGACTGGCTGAAAATGAAATCTAAGAATAACTAAACTGTTTAAATCTAAAATATGTAAAATGTTAATGTCATAACTGTATTACAATCTTACAAACTGAATGTTGTCAAAACCTTTATGACATACGACGGCAAAAACATCTAATTATTTGCATATTAAGTAAGACATAAAAAGCCTGTTTCACAAAATGGAAAAATGCTTTAGATGGAAATAAACCTACAAGTCAAAATATTTATTGCAACAGTTGTGCAGCTACATTGTTTATGTAACACTGCATTCTGTATGTTTTAGACCTTGGACTGTGTGTTTTTCTTTTCGCAGTATCTCCAACAATAGCTTGTGTGGCTGTGAGGCATCGGTTATCTTGTACACAACAAATAGTTTTAGAGGATAAACAATCACGGAAGATGTCTCGGCTGAAGTTGTTTGTGCGTTTTTCCTTTATATGTGTGTTTGTATATGTGTGTGTGTGTGTGCGTGTGTGTGTGTGCGTATGTGTGTGTGTGTGTGTGTGTGTCAAGGTTGCCAAGGACCAGTTAATGGGTTTGCATGTATTGTAAAGTGGGCTGGAATGAGGCTCAAACAAAGTGGCCTTCTGCCTCTCAGATGGGTTCATTGAGTGTGTGTGTGTGTGTGTGTGTGTGTGTGTGTGTGTGTGTGTGTGTGTTTGGGTGGGTGTTTGTGCTTATGTGTGTGTGTGTGTGTATGCCAAGGTCTTGATAACAGGCTTATATAAGCAGGTGAATTGGAGGGAGAAAAGTAACAAAGTGCCCTGTAGCTCTTTTAATATCCCCACTACCTCTATCCCGAATGCAGCCCCGACGAATGTGTGTGAAAGTATTGTATATATATGTGTGTGTGTGCATACTGTACATGTGGCCTGTGCTCGTGTCCTTGCACGCTCGTGTCTGCATAAGCATGTTGGTGTGTGAGGCCATGTTTGTGTGGCAATGAGGTGTTGGAAAAAGGCTTCTTGTCTGACAAACAGACAGTTTCATCTATTATGCAGTGTTGGTTTTTGCCGAAGCCTGGGCAGCGGTCGCAGTAGCACACAGGGTTGTAGAGCTTCAGAGAGCACTTAAGAGAGGAGAGGATCGCCGTGTCTCACTGAGGGACCCCGGGCGCTGTCACCTCGGCTATTAGCCCTGCGACACTTCCGCGGGGAGAGGGATTGAAGGNGGGGGGGGGGGGGGGGGGGGGGGGGGGGGGGGGGGGGGGGGGGGGGGGGGGGGGGGGGGGGGGGGGGGGTAGATAGACCGAAACACAGCCGGCTTAGTGCTTCATGGCTCTTCGGGGAGAGAGCAGGCTGAGAGGGAAGAAAAGGGCAACGACAGGCTGATGCTGTGAGGTGGGAAGGTGGGATGGCAGATGACAAGAGAGGGAAGAAGTTTGTCAGGGAGAGGGATGTGTAATAAGAAGGGGACAAAAGTGAGATAAGGGGAGAGTTTTAATGAGAGAGCAATAGAGATAGGGGATGAGGGAAGAATAAGAGGTGGTGAAAATGAGAGGATAAGAGACACGGAGGATGTCCTCATGTGTCTTTATGATGAGACTCTCTGTTTCTGTGGTGATGATGTGATTTTGGCTGCGTGGCTCATATTCATTCAGGTGGCACCTGCTAGTCACACAGAGGAAACAGCCGTCTCTGTTTCTCCTCTTCATGTCTCCCTTGTTCTATTGCGATACATCTGCTGCTTACTGCACACACACACACACAAAGAGTACACACCTGATCTTTCCCTCGTGTGGCAGTTCGTGTGGCGGGTTGTCACATAGCAGCCTCGAGTATCCCTCCAGCATGTAGACACACACACACTCCTGGAATAAAACACACATATAAACGTGCACATTCATTGTAATATTAATCAGATTTTAATTAACTTCATGAGTGATGAGGTTCATCCATTTGCAACAAGGCCCGGGCCTCTGCTCCTTGGTCTTATGTCAGGGCTGAAGCTTTTAGCTCCGCCACTCTGAATACTAACAGGAAGCTTTTAGTTTTCAGGTGATAAATCAAGGAAATGTCAATTATTTTGAGCTGTTTGTGCAAATGTGGAGTGTGTGTGTTTGTGTGTGTGTGTGCACAAATACCGTGCTCGGTAGCAACTCCTGTATGCTGTCTCGAAGGGCCACTCGAAGCGAGCGTGCGTCGACAACTGCCGCCAGCCGCAGCAAAGCATCCTGAGGACAGAGACAAACAGATGCCCTGATGTCTGTTTGGTTGTTTGTTTATGATCTCAACGTGCGCCTCCAAGAACCTGAGGCCTTGGCGATGGTTTTATTTTTTTTTTTTTGTGGGTACAAGGTTTACATTTCAACAGCTCTTCCCCAGATATTCAGCTTGGCAGGCTGTGAAGGCCTCTGAAACAATATTTAAAGTGTGTCACACTCTGTAACGCACGGCAATCTGTGCTCATTGGAGGCACAAGTGAGGTGCTTAAAAAATGAAAACTGAACTCAAACATCGTCAGGGATTACCGGAGTTGGTTTTGCTCTTCAGGACACTCAATGATTTTTGTTTCATTTTGGCACTGTGAAAACCAAGCACTTCACAAGAAGCGCTTGATTATTCATGAAATGAAATGGCGTATGGCAGTACAACCAACAAAAAAAAATCTCACGGTTCAGAAACGACATAAAAGATATTTACTTTCTGCTCATTGCTGAGCGCTTTGAAGATCGGATAGAAGCACTTAACTTGGAGGAGAGTGGTGGTTATCTTAATTACAGTCTGCCTCTGATCAGTCTGATCAAATTTAACAAGATCTGTTTTTTATGTGTCTTGACTTTGATCAAATATCTCCTCACATCAAAATTAAATACACAGAAAAATACTAAAGACAGACAAGCACGGAGGATCTAATCACAGCTACTAAAGGCTTATGCATGACTGAAACAAACTAGTCTGTACTAAACGTTGTCCAACCACAGAGTGCTCATATCTGTTCCTATGTTCCTAAGTGGCCACACTCAAAGGCAGGGCAAAATGTAGGTCATCTGAGGGGCACCATGAATCATACAGATGGAGATAATGGAAAGTCATAATGTTGCATGATGATGTTGTAAAGAGGCATACAGAGTTGAGTGAAGAGAGCTTTAAAGCAAGGGCGTTGCGTTTGTTTCAACATTTGGGTGGAGGGGGAGTCTGGAGGCCCCCCCCCCCCCAAGAAATTTTGAGCGTCAAACACTTAATTTCCTGCATTCTGGTCAGTTTTTATGTGTCGTTCTGCAACGTTCTTAAGACCTGCCGGTTCACACCAATGCAACTAGATGAGATGGTGTATCATCTCTATGCAACAACTCTCTGTACTGTGTTCTGATTTTCAGCTTTTCAGGCTTATTTTGTGGCTGAACATAATTTGTAGCTTCTTCAAATATGAATGAGGATAGTGAGAGTGAGATACTGGCTACAGCTGCATTTGTAGTAGTGATGAAACAAAACGAGCATCAGATGGACTGTATTCATAATAAATATGTCATAATAAATATGCCACAATAATATAAATAGCCAACGGCGATTAATCAGTCAGTGACAATGTGTGTGTGTGTGTGTGTGTGTGTGTGTGGATGGGGAGGCATAAGCCCATACAGCGAGCAGTAAGCAGCAGCAGCGACCCATCGTCCGACTATGGCACAACGTGAGGACAGAAACAGAAACTCGGCGAGGATGGAGCACCTGCTGCAGCAAGCGAACACACCGTCTACAGTCATTTTGACTTGACCAGAGGACTTCACTACAAACCAATTGGGTGTTGAAACAGGTGACACGTTTAACGTTCTCAGTCGAGCTCAGACCTGCCAATTTACAGCTCTGAAACTTTACTCTGCAACACTCTAAAACTGGTATGAACTGGACTATACATGTCTTTTTTGCATCAATTTCTAAAGGATATATCATGGTACTACCTGCTTCAACCGTGCATAGTTACTACTTCTGCTTGCCATTTCATGGCAGACTGCAACCATTGCATTTGAGGTTGCATGCTGCCACCACCTACCACCTGTTGCGTCAAAGGGTCACATTCTCACAGTTAATGAATCTTGAGCCCTCTGCTAGATTCATGTTTTTATTAGGGGTGGGAATCATCAGAGGATCCACGATATGATATTATCGCGATACTTCAGTCACAATACAGTATTACTGCAATTTTAAATATGTTATGATAACATATTCATAAATGTGTTAAGAATATTTTGCTTATATATGCTGCCATATATTGCAATATTTTCTCAACTGTAAATGATGTCCCCAAAGGAAAGTTTTCTCAACATCTGTTTTATCTAATCAGTTTAAAAAGTTTTCAGTCTGTTCGTCTCACTTCCATTTTTTTGCAGCAGCAAAATGTATCTAGTGGACTGAAAAAGCAATTGTTTATATTATTCTAGGAGGCTACCTAAAGTTTAATTCGTATTTGTCATATTAAAGATTTATATACTTGGCGCTGTGTGTGACGATACAATATTGCCAAACAAAAATATCACACTATGCTGTATCGATTTTTTCCCCCACCCCTAGTTTTTATGGGGGGACATGTTCTGAAAATTAAGGAGGACAAGTCCCCTGCACCCCCCGCCAAAATCTATACCTCTGCTTGAGAGGAAAGTTCAAACTAGGCTTGGGCGGTATCAAAGCATTACGATACTTAGATTTAGAAATCCGTACGGTAGAAATCCCGAAACTATGATTTTTAACACCGTCGAAAATACAAATGCTCCTCTTTTGATCAAACTGATAAGGAGATGCTGTATTGAGGTGATGTATTGTAGTGCACAATATGCACCACCAGAGGTCAGTCTCTACGGGTGGAACAGGCAGCTGAGCTGAGAGAGATGGCAATTGCAAGTGGTGGGAATAACGTTACCAGACTCTGACCCTGGTTGGAAATATCGCCACATAAAGTGTCATCATCCTCCATTCATTATTCTATGGGCTATAAGCATTCAAACAAAGCAAGACTGAGTAGTCTGAGCAGGCTAATTACATAGTAGACACACAATATTGTAGGCTAGACAGTGACATACATGCTACAATGACTTCTATCACCAGTAGCTCAGTTTTTATGTTTCTTTTTTTTTAACATTTACCATCATGCACCGTATACCCTGGTGAAATGTCAGTAAGGTATGAAAAAATTCTTCCTTTGTTTCCCCCACACACCCAGCCAATTGCTGCATAAAGTGGCTGTGCTTGCTAAATGTTGGTTTAGGAAAGAAGAAAACTGCGAAAAATAAAACAGCCCTTCCAATCCCGATACGTTAGAAAGGTGTTTCAGATGCAGCAGGATCATCAGACAAGCACTTTGTTTGCAGCATACTAACACCTTAAAAGGGTCAGTGTAACTGCAAGGTGAGAGCAGTCTGTTCTCTCTTTTTACTCCTCTAAAAGCAACTTTTTGCTTTAATAAAGATGAGGTCTGGAAACTAGAGGAGCAGAGAAATAGGAAAATAGGAGAGCTGATCTGAGAAAACACTGCAGCTTATATCTTAAGGTCAAGCAAGATTGAGCTTGTGCTTCAAGGTTTTTTTTTTACATTTTCACCTTCCACAAAACAGGCGCAGAGATCCGCAGCGTCTCACAACCACAACTTTATCAGCTCGTAACATCCAATGTGACAGCTAGAAATTCATCCTGTAAGAATATTTACGTTCTGTGTGCGGTCTACTTAAATCCCTACCAGTTCTAGTCATCACTCGGCATTATTATTACATGTAACCGTAGTGTAAAAGAGAATCTCAGCGGGACTTCAAAATCTGATCAAAGCTTAGAAAAACACTGGGAGAAATCACAGAGGCTTAAAATGCCACAGCTTTTTAAACTGTGTACTGAATATAAATTGGAAAGATAATGTTGGAAAAAATTGCCTGTGATCATTTCTCTCTCAGTTGTTCTGATAAAGCACCACAGTTGCACAGCCGAGCCGGAAGGAAGAGCATCTTGTTCCTTCTTTAAGCGTACAACACCACAGAGGTACTGCAAGCTGCGTCTGCTGGGGGGCTCGATGTTCTACCGAAGGTGTCCATCTGTCACCTGCTCTTTTATTTTTCTTCTTCTCTGCTTTTTGGACACCCTCCCTTTATACCTATTTCCTCTGTCAATCGCTCACGTTCAGGCTTGTGTTTGGATGACTGGGACAGTTTGAGATTGTCGGGGGGAGGGTTAAGGAGTGAGGGAGGAGAAGAGTCTTGTCATGCCTGAGCACTCCGTGTTGGTTATTACATATGATTAGATATGATTAAATGCGATTAGCTTTGATCACTCAATCAGCCTGCCAGAGTGCTGTTGTAATGAAGTTGGAGCTCTGCCAGTGTGTGTGTATGGGTGTGTGTGTGAGTGTGTGTGTGTGTGTTAGAGAAAGCATCTGAGAATGTTTTGCATCTTAAGCTGCAGCTTTTGAAAATGCTTGTGTAAATCCCGATAAATAATATTTGATCGAAAGTAGATCTGAGCTGCAGACAAACGCTGGCTCCTCGTCTTCCCCACTCTGCTGTCAAGAACTCGTCGAGGATAGACGCTGAAACCTGTCATCCTTTGTGTGTCTGTGTGTGTCTGTGTGTGTGTGTGTTACTAGCAATAAGATGTATGCCTTTGTAAATGTCAAACTCTGTCTTATGACCTTTCGCAATAATTTCTTGCTATAAACCTCAAACCATCTGTTATATTAATTTACCTGCCTCTAAACCCGTCAGCACACACACACACACACACAAACACAAACACAAACACAAACACACACACACACACACACACACACACACACACATCCAACCGCCCACTCATCAGGTCCTGATGCAGACAAGGACACACATGCATGATTGTTTTAGCTTGTAACATGATCACAGCTTTTTTTTTATTCTTGCTTAATGAAATTTCACCATTTTATCATGATTCATTTTATTTTCACCATTTTCTTATTAAATTTGCTTTTTTCACTTCCATTTTGTCGCCGCACGCAGTGTCTCAGAAATGCTTTTCGGGAGCTGAAAAGAAAAAGCTCTGTTTCTCATTTGAATAGGGTACGTTTAGAGTTCATCCAATTGGGATTTTTAAGGGTCACTGAACCTCTGCAGCAGGAAGAATTAAATAGAGGACAGTGTAATCCTTCAATTAGTTCAAAACTGAGGCATGACAGCCTTGGAAATTTTGAATGAAAACGGCGACGTGATTTCATTACACTAACACA